AATCGATTTTCGTGTTCCGCTCATCAGTGAATAGTATCGGAACTGAGGGTACTGTGTACAAAAATAGAACATTTTTTTAGAACATTTTTTTTGGTTATCAGATGTAAATGTTGTGTCATGTTGCACTGTATCACCTCTTGCTTTGTGGCTGCACTCAGTTATATACGTTAGCACTATGTTTGACACCTATTATGTAATGCTGTAGCACCTCCTTTGTTGTTCACACTTTTAATTAATTATGCTGTTATAAAATGTTCTATTTTTGTTGTTCACACTTTTAATTAATTATGCTGTTATAAATTTTTTTGTACACAGTACCCTCAGTTCCGATACTATTCACTGATGAGCGGAACACGAAAATCGATTTTGAATAACATAAAAATCCTTAAAAATTCCATGAACTCGTTGTTGTCTGGCCATGTCTGCATCGATTATACTCCTAATTGCACTAATAATAATAATAATAATAATATTAAAGGGGAAGTGCATCGATTTTTCAAGTAGGGCTCAGATGAAAGACAATAGACCAATCCCGAAAAGATTGTCTGGGTTCGAAAGGGGGCATGTCAACTGAGAGTACACTGTACAACACATACATGGCACTACCTGATCAGCATGCGGCACAGGACGTGTTTGATAGTTCGCGTGTGAATGCGAGGGTAAGTACACGATTTTCTCGTTAGTTGCATGCAAGAGAGACGATGCGACAGAAAGCGAAGCCCTTTGTAGTTTTCTCTCTCGCACTGGTAATGGTCTGCTGTTGGAGTTGAAATGCTAAGACATAATCCTTGTTTCGCTCTTCTGTGTAGTGTGAAGAGGTCAACGAACATGTAGAGCTCACTTTGATGAAGTAGGCAAGGCTGTGAGCGCTGTGGCTCAAAGCGATAGGCCCTAAATCTTACGAGATATTTCGAGTGCTATTGTTTGTTGCGAGCGCTTCGTCTTCGATGAGTCCTGCCTCTTTCCTGGCAGCTGCCCTCCTATAGGACCAACCACGAAGTGACTGTACTCATCTGCAGCCGATCAATGTTATATTGCACAAGAAGATATCGTTTTCGCCAAGCCAGTGCCCCGCCAAAGACCATCGCCGTGTCACACCGTCGGAACGAGTTCATGATGAGAAACATCATTCGCGCGAGCGTGATGAAGAAATATTTCGAAAGACAACATAGTCTTTACCCCCGGGACGACAACTATGTGCACGTCCTGCAAGGGGAGAATGTCACCAGCGACATCAACGAAGACGACGGCAGTATTTCGGAAACCTGGAGGCAGCGGAGGTCGTCAAGCTCCTCCGCGACCCGGTACATGTACAGTATAGGTGACATGTCGACACGAGCGTGCGGAAACACAGCATACACTGTAGTAATGTTGCGAGAGTTTGCGGAAGGAGTCCAAGTCGGGAAATCCATCAGCTCCAAAAGCTACCTGTAGGTGGGCGATGAGACTCCAGCTTCAGAGTAGTCTGAATCAGACTACAACAGTCAGGACTTGTAAATAGTTGAACTTTGTGAAGCATCGCCATCAGATCGAGAAGTTAGCTGAAATCGTAGCTGTTGCAGTATGTCGGCGCTGTGTAGCTTGCATTTTTTACGGAGAGTCGATCGCCACGCGAATGTTTCTCTCCTCACCGAGAGCTATCTGGCCTCCAAACTCCGTCAGGGTCTGCCTAAGGTACCGAAGGTCCTTTGACTAGCTGCTGGCAGGACTCCATCAAATCCTTTAGCTTCAGCTCGGCGAGCAAAAGTCTCTCTCTCCTCCGCCATGAGCTGACACACACAAACTGAATACAAAACGATGCACTTCACACGTGCTGGCTTGCACGCGTGCCCCCTTTCACGAACCCAGACAATCTTTTCGGGATTGGTCTATTGGATATCGGTTCCGATGGTATATCTCTCGCTTGCGTACGGCAAGGGAAACTTGCCATATCGCCAATTTCCTGATCCCGTTTCCATGGCGACTACAGGTGATGACGCACATTCTGCTTAGCTCCGTGAGAGAGAAGGTCGATCACTGCAGAATTGTGTCATTTTCAGTTGTCTTCTTGTATTCACGAAGTGAAAGAAGTACTGTGTTCAATGCTGTTAGTGCCGTGAACTGTTTGTTAGTAGTCGTCTCCGTTGTGTACTGGGACGTGACACCGACAGGGGAAAGCTGGAGTGCGGAGACGTTAGCTGGAAAGCGAAAATCGTGACGAACCAAGTGCTGAAATCTTGGTTGGGACAAATCAAACGTTCAGCATTTACCTCAACCAAGGACCATGCCGTTTGCTCTTTCCACTTCCTGAAGATGGATGCGCTGCCTGCTGGAGACTCTCCTATCTCTCGTAACGTCTTCTGAAGCCAGGTGAGACGACGAGTAGCGGAGATTAGCGAACGAAATAATGTCGTATGTTTTGAAATTTTTGCTGAACATTTCTCAGGAGAGATGGCGAATACCAAGCATCTTCTCCTAGTCTAGAGAAACCATTTCGTAGGCTACATTCCGCCTAGGGAAATGCAGAACGGACGGCCTGGCTGGGGAGGACACACTTGGAGGAGAACGAAGTAAGTGATCGTGTTTATGTTGTTCTTTGGTATTGCAATCTTATGTTTGACGAACATACGGCGTGGTGCATAGTTGGTCGTTGAGTGCCTGCATGTGCATGTATAAGTGTGTGCTGATAAACACTTCTTATGCAAGAATCTGACACTCATGCTCTCTTTCTTTCTTGCAGTATGTGCGCACGTGTGTGTGTGTGTGTGTGTGTGTGTGTGTGTGAGCGAGAGAGAGAGAGTGTGCAGGAGCAGCGTGGAGCATGCCGGTGTGATCGCTGTGGCCGTTGCTTTCTTAGCTGTGGCACTCTTGCCCGTCACAAGTGCATGGCTCAGCCCCCAACGACAGTGGAGCGGGGTGAATACTGTGTGTCCTGCGACCGCTGCTTCCGTTCAGTCCAGGGTAGGAATAGACACCGCTGCTGAAGCTCTCCGCGGCTGTACGTCAGTCTCGTGGCAGATGATCCGAACTCTCATTTTGTGTGTGTGTGTGTGTGTGTGTGTGTGTGTGTGTGTGTGTGTGTGGTGTATGTATGTATGTATGTTGCTCCCTACTTAGACAAACTCTTGTTTTTGTGTCCTGGGTGCCATGGGGCGGCGTTCTCCCATTCTCTCTCCACTGCCCCTCCGGGCCCACGTGGCAGTGACTCGACAGGGCAGGGCAAGTGTGTGTATGGTGCATGGTGTGTGCTGGCATGTCTGTATAAATATGTTGGACAGGAATTTGTTCACCCACAACGTTCACGGAAAACCATGCTAGGTGTTGCTGGAACGTATAGAGTCTGCGAGCACTTACAATAACTTACGTCATGTCACAACAAAGAACGGTGCAGTGTTTGACCCTCATGTAAACATGATGGTGATGGTACCTCACCTAAGCTACCCATGAAACTAGAAAGAACAACAGAATTGTACCAGAGGAAAGCATCTTTGCCCGAACTTCTTCATAATGAAATGAACAATACCCTTCTCCATAAAGACAACATGCAGATTAAGTGTAGGGACAAATAATATATAAATAGGCCATTCACTGAGGGCATGGAATGATCTCTACGTGTAGATTGGATAGACACATGCACGTCTGCAAGGAAAGCATTTGTTCATGGGCTGATTGAGTTCACATGGACTAAGTTCATACATGCCATCTCTCCTGAGATATGTTCAGCAAAAATTTCAAAACATACGACATTATTTCGTTCGCTAATCTCCGCTACTCGTCGTCTCACCTGGCTTCAGAAGATGTTACGAGAGATAGGAGAGTCTCCAGCAGGCAGCGCATCCATCTTCAGGAAGTGGAAAGAGCAAACGGCATGGTCCTTGGTTGAGGTAAATGCTGAACGTTTGATTTGTCCCAACCAAGATTTCAGCACTTGGTTCGTCACGATTTTCGCTTTCCAGCTAACGTCTCCGCACTCCAGCTTTCCCCTGTCGGTGTCACGTCCCAGTACACAACGGAGACGACTACTAACAAACAGTTCACGGCACTAACAGCATTGAACACAGTACTTCTTTCACTTCGTGAATACAAGAAGACAACTGAAAATGACACAATTCTGCAGTGATCGACCTTCTCTCTCACGGAGCTAAGCAGAATGTGCGTCATCACCTGTAGTCGCCATGGAAACGGGATCAGGAAATTGGCGATATGGCAAGTTTCCCTTGCCGTACGCAAGCGAGAGATATACCATCGGAACCGATATCCAATTGTCTTTCATCTGAGCCCTACTTGAAAAATCGATGCACTTCCCCTTCAACTGGTTTGAGGGAAAGAGACAAACGGGAAAAGTCTGAAGAAAAAATTGACTGTCACCACCAGGACTCGAACCAGGGACCCTCGCTTGTAGCCAGCGATGCTCTAATTTAACCACTGAGCTATGGTGTAGTCGTCATCCCAGCAGAGACCGTTCAACGTTTTCTTCAATAATAATAATAATACTACACCATAGCTCAGTGGTTAGAGCATCGCTGGCTACAAGCGAGGGTCCCTGGTTCGAGTCCTGGTGGTGACAGTCAATTTTTTCTTCAGACTTTTCCCGTTTGTCTCTTTCCCTCAAACCAGTCAAAATAATAATATTAATAATAATATTACACCGTATAATATACAAAAACAAAAAAGTTTAAAAAAAAGAACTTTACTGTTGAGAGTCATAAAATTACCACTCCCGGGCTTGTCGGATATCCGACGTGCTCCGATAACTGGCAACCGGATAAGCGACATTCGACTGTACAATCATGTACATGTACATGCATGATCGCATTTGCTGGCAAAGTGCATTGCAAACCTCGCAATGTTTTGATATGCTCGTAACAGTATTGCGGTCATTTTCGTAATTGACGGTCATAACAAAAAAAATACATTGGATATAACAACCGTTCATGATATGAGGTCAAATACCATCACCAACCACTATTCCTGCCACTAGCCCGATCTTTGGAAAGGACTCACAAGGACACACAAGTTAGTTGTAAACTCACCATGCCGGTATATTCAATGTTGTTTTATCCAATCTTCATCGTACAATGCTTATCAAAATGGTTGAAAACATATTGTTTTAGTGCACACATTTGTACTCTTAAAAAGAACGCATCGGCGGTGGAAAGGATGAACAAAGAAGAAAAAGAAACTGTCTGTTGCCCTTTTGTCGAAAATGCCTGGCCGAAGGTCAGGACGCTTGAGAATGTATTGGTTTAGTGCACGCATTTGTACTCTCAAAGAGATTGTATCAGTAGTGGATAGAATGAACAATGAAGAAAAAGAAACTGCCTGTTGCCCTTTTGTCGAAAATGGTTTGCCAAAGGAAACATTCCAAAAATTGAAGACTTGTTGCAGCGTGTGCATCATAAAAGAAAAAAAGCATGATCGGAGAGGAGAGAAACCGGTTGGCGACATTCACTACTGTTCAAGAAACTCCTCATTCTGAACAACATAATAAATATGTAGCGTGAGGTGCACCTGCGTCTGTGAAGCCATATCCAGCATACGCACTTTGTTTTTAACGCTTTCTTAGCGCTGCCATTGGCAAGTCAACCTTCATTATTGGGAACTGCTGCTGATCAAGACGTGCAACTTCTTGTCGTGTAAAGCTGGATGGAGGAAGTGCTCCTGGAACTACTACTTTGCTTGCACTAGGCGCGGTTCCTTGCTGTAGTTGTGAACCAGCAGGCAAGGTGGCTGATTTAGGTGTATCCTTCTTGGATGTTGGTTTTGGACTGAGAGGTGGTGGATCACGAGAGCTGGATTTTAGCCCAGATATGCTGGCTGGACGAGGCTTGCTGGTGACGGCTTTAGCTTGTCCGTGACTTGTAGCAGATGAGGGTGCAGACTTCAATGACAGCCTGTGCTCCGAAATAGATGAGCTGGCCTTGCCAGATTTACTCTTGTCGTTTTGTGTTTTAGCTTCAGTAGTGGAAGGCGAGTGGTCTGTGTGCTTTGTGCCGTGTGTGTCCTTCACTTTGGCACCAGCAGATTGCAGTGGTGATGTGCGAGACCCTGCACTCTTGCCAACTCCTGATACTTTGCTAAACTTGCTGGCATTCCCATCAGTGTCCAGGGCTGTGTCAACACTCTGCGTTCGGTAGAGGAACTGAGGCTTTGAGGCAACCTCCGGGGCAGCTTTCATCACCGAACTGTGAACATTAGGGTCACTGCGACGAGTAGAACCTGAAGCATCTGTGGGTTTGACGGTCAAATTGGTCGAGTCAGTAGTGTCCATGTTACCAGTACTGCCACGGCTATGTGAAGAGGTGCGCTGGCTGTCCGACTGTGGCTGTCTGGCATTGTGAGGATTACCCTGCTTTCTTCTGGCATGAGGTGGTGATACTGATAGACCTAAAGAGTGCCCGCCCTTCCCAGAGCCTTGCCCTTCAGCAGTGCCTGCGATATCAAGTAGAATAATTATAACACAAAAGAACATGCATATGCGCAACATAAGATTCAGGTAAAATCAAATTCCAGTTTCAAACTTGAAATGTGTAGGTGGGCTTGAAACCAAGGCAGGCAGGCAGGCACAGTGAGTTGATCTGAGACCATGATAAAGAAAAAGAGGTAGTAATGGCCGGAAGCAGCAGGTAGTAATGCCCGGAAGCAGCAGGTGGATTTTTCCATCAATGCTATGACTCACAGTGAATTGGGAACTTGTGGTTTGGCGCAAGGGCAACATGGATGGGGAAAACGGATTTTGGCCGTTGGCTTCCTCCTTGCTGTATTTCATCTATCCACCACACTCTTTTAAGCTGTGCCCAACACTTCATCATGGGGTGATGGGGTAGCTTCTGAGCTTCTGACTTTCCCTGTACTCGGAACGGTAAGTTTTCTTGTATTTTACAACACAACCATCTAAAAAACAAGTTCCGTGACATGTGTTTTTGCCAACTCTGCAGTATGAAGCTGTCATACACTGAAAATCATAGGATGGTACTACTGACTAACCTTTACTGCTTGGAGTAGCAGGTAGAACTGATGATGAGGAAGACTGCACTGATGTATCTGATCCACAGTCAAACCCAGTGCCAACTTCACCATCAACTTCACCATCCTGTTTCCACACAACAGAACACACCATCATCATCAACTTCACCATCCTGTTTCCACACAACAGAACACACCATCATCATCAACTTCACCATCCTGTTTCCACACAACAGAACACACCATCATCATCAACTTCACCATCCTGTTTCCACACAACAGAACACACCATCATCATCAACTTCACCATCCTGTTTCCACACAACAGAACACGCCATCATCATCAACTTCACCATCCTGTTTCCACACAACAGAACACGCCATCATCATCAACTTCACCATCCTGTTTCCACACAACAGAACACACCATCATCATCATGCTGAGACCAGACAAACTGTGTTGCATTTACATCTTAATCTTACGTTATTAAAAAATGCGCACTTGCTTTCTCTCATGGAAACCATCAAAAATCACAGTTGCCTCTTCAGGTTCATTGTCCATGTACAGTCAGACCTCGCGTATCTGATCCTCTTTTATCCGGATCCCTCACCATCCGGAAGAAGATCATTGGTTACCGATTTACAGCAGATGTCATGCATACATACAGTATGTGCGTTCGATTATCCGGTTCCATCGTCTATCTGGATATTTTCGTGGAAAACAGAATCTGATGCAGTGTGCGGTTATGCGAGGTCTGACTGTACTACACGTACCAAGCAAAATAGGGGTCGTTATGAACATCGCCCTGTTGACCCCCTTGGACATTTCCCTGTTGACCCCCTTGGGCATTTCCCTGTTGACCCCCTTGGGCATTTCCCTGTTGACCCCCTTGGGCATTTCCCTGTTGACCCCCTTGGGCATTTCCCTGTTGACCCCCTTGGGCATTTCCCTGTTGACCCCCTTGGGCATTTCCCTGTTGACCCCCTTGGGCATTTCCCTGTTGACCCCCTTGGGCATTTCCCTGTTGACCCCCTTGGACATTTCCCTGTTGACCCCCTTGGACATTTCCCTGTTGACCCCCTTGGACATTTCCCTGTTGACCCCCTTGGACATTTCCCTGTTGACCCCCTTGGACATTTCCCTGAAACTGTTGACACACTGTGTAGGTCCGGTGCAAATCAGTCCCATGCACACTTTGTCCCATGCACACTTTGTCCCATGCACACTTTGTAAATTAGTCCCATGCACACTTTGTAAATTAGTCCCATGCACACTTTGTAAATTAGTCCCATGCACACTTTGTAAATTGGCCCAATATCTGAGAAAATCGACCTTCGGGGCTGTTTTGGTGAAATTGATTTTTTTGTTGCAAATTGATGTCTAGCCTTTGTAGAGTATTGTCACTTCGTTTCACGGCAATCAGACCAATATTGACCATGTAGAAATGCATTTTACAGTCAGGAGTCATGTTAATGAATTGTTCTTTTTTTTACAATTTTGAAAGATCAGTGTGTTTGGAGCCACCAAAAATTGTTTCCGTGTGATATCAATAGCCAACTAATATAGTAAAGTGTTTTGACTGTTCAGGTACTTCATTTCCAGCATTCCGTGACTTTATTGAGGTTGTGTAGTTGCAACAGCAGCAATAGCAGCATTAGAAGGAGAGGTGATTTATCTGTTCTCCTGGTGATGGACATGCTTGACAGGATAGTCTGCAACAGATTTTGACGGAACACCATGATACATGTAACAGCATTCACATACTTATTGTGAAGAAGTCAAACAGAGCAAATGCGTCCAGATTCGCCTTGTCACACTTTGTGGAGACTGACCATTTCCAAACATCAGTAACACAGCCTGACAAGCGTTTCACACCACCAACTCAAAAGTAACAGAATGTTACTAGTACTCGAGATTGCCCAGCCTCATGTGCTCCGTGATGGTCTGATTCGCCATTATTGGCTCGAGTATCGAGATTGCCATCCAAAACATTTTAGGATCATCGTCGCAAAGAAAACTCGCATCATTTCGTGCTGTTTTAGCAGGTCTGGCGTGACACTCAGGAAACAGTTCTGCCACCCGCGCAAGGGCGGCCAGCGACCTTGCAAGCGGCGTACCCACAGGAATCTACCTGGTTGTCCTTGCCTGGAGCTGTAGCAGCTATCGCTGAGGCAGACTGTGGTTGGCCTTGATCATACTCATCCAGGCCAAGTCCTCATCATGGTCGCCCCCGACAGGTAAGTACCGCGTGTCACTTGCGATCGATTCGACTGACATGCGCTCTCAGAACTAGAAGCGCTGTCGCCGCTTGACAGGATATCCACAAAGAACGATGCATCACCGTCCATGGGATCGCGGCTGCTGTGCTCCGTGAGCCCAATAACCAACTGACACAAGAATCGCCTTCCATTTCCTTCCGCCATTGTCGTCTCTGCACTTTGCTTCGACAGATTCGATTTTTTTGCGAACAAATTTGTTTTTAGTGTTTTCTCAAAAAAACCGCGTAGCCCCGAAGGTCGAAAGTCTCAGATACCAGGCCAATTAGTCCCATGCACACTTTGTAAATTAGTCCCATGCACACTTTGTAAGCGGCACTCTATACATATATAGCAACGTTATACTGTGCTGGCAACTGAAATCCGACCCCCTTAAGTGGGTCGGATTTCAGTTGCCAGCACTGTACCTGTAAGTCAGCAGACACTGCTGTATACACACCTGAGTGGAGCCTGAGACACTGTATACACACCTGAGTGGAGCCTGAGACACTGTATACACACCTGAGTGGAGCCTGAGACACTGTATACACACCTGAGTGGAGCCCGAGACACTGTATACACACCTGAGTGGAGCCTGAGACACTGTATACACACCTGAGTGGAGCCTGAGACACTGTATACACACCTGAGTGGAGCCTGAGACACTGTATACACACCTGAGTGGAGCCTGAGACACTGTATACACACCTGAGTGGAGCCTGAGACACTGTATACACACCTGAGTGGAGCCTGAGACACTGTACACACCTGAGTGGAGCCTGAGACACTGTATACACACCTGAGTGGAGCCCGAGACACTGTATACACACCTGAGTGGAGCCTGAGACACTGTATACACACCTGAGTGGAGCCTGAGACACTGTATACACACCTGAGTGGAGCCTGAGACACTGTATACACACCTGAGTGGAGCCTGAGACACTGTATACACACCTGAGTGGAGCCTGAGACACTGTATACACACCTGAGTGGAGCCTGAGACACTGTATACACACCTGAGTGGAGCCTGAGACACTGTATACACACCTGAGTGGAGCCTGAGACACTGTATACACACCTGAGTGGAGCCTGAGACACTGTATACACACCTGAGTGGAGCCTGAGACACTGTATACACACCTGAGTGGAGCCTGAGACACTGTATACACACCTGAGTGGAGCCTGAGACACTGTATACACACCTGAGTGGAGCCCGAGACACTGTATACACACCTGAGTGGAGCCCGAGACACTGTATACACACCTGAGTGGAGCCTGAGACACTGTATACACACCTGAGTGGAGCCTGAGACACTGTATACACACCTGAGTGGAGCCTGAGACACTGTATACACACCTGAGTGGAGCCTGAGACACTGTATACACACCTGAGTGGAGCCTGAGACACTGTATACACACCTGAGTGGAGCCTGAGACACTGTATACACACCTGAGTGGAGCCTGAGACACTGTATACACACCTGAGTGGAGCCTGAGACACTGTATACACACCTGAGTGGAGCCTGAGACACTGTATACACACCTGAGTGGAGCCTGAGACACTGTATACACACCTGAGTGGAGCCTGAGACACTGTATACACACCTGAGTGGAGCCTGAGACACTGTATACACACCTGAGTGGAGCCTGAGACACTGTATACACACCTGAGTGGAGCCTGAGACACTGTATACACACCTGAGTGGAGCCTGAGACACTGTATACACACCTGAGTGGAGCCCGAGACACTGTATACACACCTGAGTGGAGCCCGAGACACTGTATACACACCTGAGTGGAGCCCGAGACACTGTATACACACCTGAGTGGAGCCCGAGACACTGTATACACACCTGAGTGGAGCCCGAGACACTGTATACACACCTGAGTGGAGCCTGAGACACTGTATACACACCTGAGTGGAGCCTGAGACACTGTATACACACCTGAGTGGAGCCTGAGACACTGTATACACACCTGAGTGGAGCCTGAGACACTGTATACACACCTGAGTCGTCAGGCGAAATAGCACGTCATCGTACATTTGAGATCAGCGGGAAGAAGATGACGATGTCCACTAATTTAGTATCTGTGCACACGAATCTGCTGTGTGTGTGACTCTGTGTGTCAGCTATGATATCATCTTCTGTGGTTCCATGCCTAGTATGTACGTCTGAACCATCCTGCAAAGTTTGAATGACGTAGGTTGAGCGATCGCTCCGCGAAATATACTTTTTGAAATTCTCTTCATAGTATATCTTCCACCATTGAAATTTCGAATTTCTTCAAAAAAAGTGCTGAGAGGGGTGGCTTGCAACCTCGATATGGCTTGTTCCAGGCATGCTTTGGAGCCATCTTCTGTTGAAGTAGTGGCGGGGATCTGCCCTGCAACTGCTACAACAAAAAATGATTCGATCTGAGAAAGGGTGAGACCGCGAATCTCGGTTGAATATTGAGTATTTCAAGCCTTTTCACGACGAAGATGGAGTTCTTTTTGGAGATGGACGTCGCGGCAAAGGACATGGTGTCCGACGTCTGGCGTCTGGTGAAGCCAGGGATCATTTGTCCAGTCAGGTCGGCAGCCTAACCATCGGTAAGCTTGTGTTTGGATCCCGTTCTGCTCGATGTGGTAGATCACAAACAATTTGATATCGCACAAATACATCTCAGCATCGTGCGTACGGTATTTTATATTCAGAAAATCCCAAAGTGTCTCTGTGTGGCCGTCCTATGCCACGAGAAACTCCAATCAGGCTCCTATGTCCTCTGCCTTCATGATTGAATGTCCACTTCGTTTGAACAACGAACACAACAATCGAGGACGGCTTTGCAATGAAAAATACAGCTATACTCGAGCTGAAAAAAGAAGAAAAAAACGTGCTCAGGATGAGACTCGAGTACACGCATACTCTCCCAGCAGGTGAAACGCAAATTTTTGTGAAAAATGCGTGACGCCGACTGACCAGTAATTTCGCCTGACGGGAGCCTGAGACACTGTATACACACCTGAGTGGAGCCTGAGACACTGTATACACACCTGAGTGGAGCCTGAGACACTGTATACACACCTGAGTGGAGCCTGAGACACTGTATACACACCTGAGTGGAGCCTGAGACACTGTATACACACCTGAGTGGAGCCTGAGACACTGTATACACACCTGAGTGGAGCCTGAGACACTGTATACACACCTGAGTGGAGCCTGAGACACTGTATACACACCTGAGTGGAGCCTGAGACACTGTATACACACCTGAGTGGAGCCTGAGACACTGTATACACACCTGAGTGGAGCCTGAGACACTGTATACACACCTGAGTGGAGCCTGAGACACTGTATACACACCTGAGTGGAGCCTGAGACACTGTATACACACCTGAGTGGAGCCTGAGACACTGTATACACACCTGAGTGGAGCCTGAGACACTGTATACACACCTGAGTGGAGCCTGAGACACTGTATACACACCTGAGTGGAGCCTGAGACACTGTATACACACCTGAGTGGAGCCTGAGACACTGTATACACACCTGAGTGGAGCCTGAGACACTGTATACACACCTGAGTGGAGCCTGAGACACTGTATACACACCTGAGTGGAGCCTGAGACACTGTATACACACCTGAGTGGAGCCTGAGACACTGTATACACACCTGAGTGGAGCCTGAGACACTGTACACACACCTGAGTGGAGCCTGAGACACTGTACACACACCTGAGTGGAGCCTGAGACACTGTATACACACCTGAGTGGAGCCTGAGACACTGTATACACACCTGAGTGGAGCCTGAGACACTGTATACACACCTGAGTGGAGCCTGAGACACTGTATACACACCTGAGTGGAGCCTGAGACACTGTATACACACCTGAGTGGAGCCTGAGACACTGTATACACACCTGAGTGGAGCCTGAGACACTGTATACACACCTGAGTGGAGCCTGAGACACTGTATACACACCTGAGTGGAGCCTGAGACACTGTATACACACCTGAGTGGAGCCTGAGACACTGTATACACACCTGAGTGGAGCCTGAGACACTGTATACACACCTGAGTGGAGCCTGAGACACTGTATACACACCTGAGTGGAGCCTGAGACACTGTATACACACCTGAGTGGAGCCTGAGACACTGTATACACACCTGAGTGGAGCCTGAGACACTGTATACACACCTGAGTGGAGCCTGAGACACTGTATACACACCTGAGTGGAGCCTGAGACACTGTATACACACCTGAGTGGAGCCCGAGACACTGTATACACACCTGAGTGGAGCCCGAGACACTGTATACACACCTGAGTGGAGCCCGAGACACTGTATACACACCTGAGTGGAGCCTGAGACACTGTATACACACCTGAGTGGAGCCTGAGCTGCTGCCGCCGCCTCCGTCCCCACCATTGTGGTGCTGGGTGCTGCGTTTTTTGAACTGCTTACGGACACAGTCGGCAGTCTCTGGACTGTCGTAGATCACTTCAGGTCGGTGTTGCTGTTTTCCTGCAGCTTGCAATGTGCTCGATGGCTGCATTGTCATGCTGTCAGCTGTGTCCTTGCCATACAGCACTGCAGAGATTTTCAACTGGTTGGAATATGTTATTCCCACAGCAATCATATCTCCAGGCTGTATCAACACAAACCACACACACACACATTCAACAATACTGACCACTGGCAGGACTGGAGGAAGCAGCTTATGATTGGTCCAGGCATACAATAGCCTTTCATACAGTTTGTGCATGATATGATGGGTGCACATTCATACAGTTTGTGCATGATGATATGATGGGTACACATTCATACAGTTTGCAGGCGCGTACGCGGGGGGGGGGGGGGGGGGGGGGGGGGGTTCCCGTTGCCCGGAAACCCCCCAAATGTTCCAAACGAGCAACGTTTTTAGGCATTTTTGGTAGGGCGCATGATCGATCTGGCAAGAATGCAAAACTTCAAAAGATCGTAACTCAGTCAAATCTCGCTCAAATTCAACGATCCACATATCCAGATCGAATAGAAAACTCTCAGCTGTCGGTTGAAAAAATTTGCAAAGCGCTGCGAGCAATGTATCGTGAGATAAATTATTTGTAAGTTGAGCCACGATCTCGGCAATTTCAAAAGCGCGCAGTGCGACTTGAGTATCGAGAATTTGAGATTGTCGTCGCGCTGATTCGCTCAAATTTGCAGGGGCTCTACTTGTGATATTTTCAAGAGTACACAGCAAACAAATCGAGACCCTGCGATCAAGAAAAACGAAATCGCTGGAGCAGGACGCGTTTGGGCCTGTTTGGGGCATTTTTCGCACCATCGCTGCACTCTACCGTTATAGCCTATAGCGCTGGATATGTACATGACTGTACTGTGTCCTGGCTATCATGGTCGACCTCATTCTGTCCCTGGTACCTTTCCACTTCCAGGAAGCCCAAGATAATGAAGATTGAGTGAATAGAACTGAAGTTAGCGCTTGCACCCGAATGCATCAGAGCAGTGTATAGGAAATAGGAGAGCCAAGTGACTACATGCAATGGAAAGTCACAGAGCAAAGCTGCATGCATACCCACGTATTCTCACAACACCGCACAAGGATGATTGGGGTACACCAGTGTGCTGGTTTCGATCAACTGGTGAAGCGATTGGCGTTGCAAACAGCCAAAGTGATCGCTCACGACTGAGCTGCAGCAGTACCCGCGACCGGGTGCAAAGTTCCCTGATCGACGTTGCAAACAGCCAACCAGGGTGAAGCAGTTGGCGTTGCAAACGGCCAAAGCAATCGCTCATGCTTGAGCGGCAATAGTACCCGCGACCGGGTGCAATGACTACTGATTGGCGTCGCAAACAGCCGACCAATAGTATGCAATTTTAAGCAGAGATAGTAGCAGCAAAGCAACCAGTTGAAGGAAGCTGTTCCCACCTATATAATGTGGGAATGGGAGGGTGGGTGGCAAACAAATTCCGGTTGCTGCTCAGTGACACTGCAAAGGAAAGCGCAAGCCAAAGTCAGCGCAGCAAGAGCTACCCAAGGCGATTTGGGCGCGCATGCGCAGCAGTTGAGTGCACGTGTAAAGCCAGCTCGATCGCAGCTAGCATGAGATAGAGAGCAGCGCATCGGTCTTATCGCTAACTAGGGTTAGCCCAAAAGCTAACCCAACATTTAGCGCTTGCACCCGAATGCATCAGAGCAGTGTATAGGAAATAGGAGAGCCAAGTGACTACATGCAATGGAAAGTCACAGAGCAAAGCTGCATGCATACCCACGTATTCTCACAACACCGCACAAGGATGATTGGGGTACACCAGTGTGCTGGTTTCGATCAACTGGTGAAGCGATTGGCGTTGCAAACAGCCAAAGTGATCGCTCACGACTGAGCTGCAGCAGTACCCGCGACCGGGTGCAAAGTTCCCTGATCGACGTTGCAAACAGCCAACCAGGGTGAAGCAGTTGGCGTTGCAAACGGCCAAAGCAATCGCTCATGCTTGAGCGGCAATAGTACCCGCGACCGGGTGCAATGACTACTGATTGGCGTCGCAAACAGCCGACCAATAGTATGCAATTTTAAGCAGAGATAGTAGCAGCAAAGCAACCAGTTGAAGGAAGCTGTTCCCACCTATATAATGTGGGAATGGGAGGGTGGGTGGCAAACAAATTCCGGTTGCTGCTCAGTGACACTGCAAAGGAAAGCGCAAGCCAAAGTCAGCGCAGCAAGAGCTACCCAAGGCGATTTGGGCGCGCATGCGCAGCAGTTGAGTGCACGTGTAAAGCCAGCTCGATCGCAGCTAGCATGAGATAGAGAGCAGCGCATCGGTCTTATCGCTAACTAGGGTTAGCCCAAAAGCTAACCCAACATTTAGCGCTTGCACCCGAATGCATCAGAGCAGTGTATAGGAAATAGGAGAGCCAAGTGACTACATACAATGGAAAGTCACAGAGCAAAGCTGCATGCATACCCACGTATTCTCACAACACCGCACAAGGATGATTGGGGTACACCAGTGTGCTGGTTTCGATCAACTGGTGAAGCGATTGGCGTTGCAAACAGCCAAAGTGATCGCTCACGACTGAGCTGCAGCAGTACACGCGACCGGGTGCAAAGTTCCCTGATCGACGTTGCAAACAGCCAACCAGGGTGAAGCAGTTGGCGTTGCAAACGGCCAAAGCAATTGCTCATGCTTGAGCGGCAATAGTACCCGCGACCGGGTGCAATGACTACTGATTGGCGTCGCAAACAGCCGACCAATAGTATGCAATTTTAAGCAGAGATAGTAGCAGCAAAGCAACCAGTTGAAGGAAGCTGTTCCCAGAAAACCAGCACACGGCACCCCAGCAAGCGTTCACCACCAATGCACGAGAGCTAAGAACAAGTGATTAAGGCACGAGATGGATAAAGGTAGGCATGCAGATGGATGAAATCCAACGCAGGTTCTCAATACGGCAATTTAGCAATGACAATCGGTACCTGTATGTCAAGGCTATATTACATCGACTGGAATGGCAGCACTGCTCGGTCTGGTTGTGCTTGAGCAGCTGGGGCGAGACGTCGGAATTCCTCCATGCGGAAACGAGACAGCGAATCGGCAATGCAGTTAGACTGGCCAGCAATGTGAGCAGCAGTGACGGTGAAATTGAAGCGGGCGCACACAAAGAACAGCTCCCTGATCAGGGTCATCACTGGCGGTGACTTGGATGTGCCGGAGCGGATGCAATCTACCACAGCCTTGTTGTCGCAGTGCATTGTGATACGAAGCTGGCGCCATTCCTTGGCCCACGTGCAGCACGCTGTGACCAACGCGTAGAGCTCCTTCCACTCAATGCTGTGAGTGAGTTGCTCAGGCGACCAGGTCCCTTGAAGCCAGCGGCCGCTGTTGAATGCGCCCCAGCCCAGGGTGCCACTGGCATCAGTGAACAGCTCCAAGTCTGGAGATGGTGTCCAATCTGGGAACAGGAAGAATGATTTTCCGTTCCATTGTTCCAGGAGCCGTAGCCACCATTGGATATCTTCTTGGCACTCGGTAGTCAGACTGATGCGGTAGTGAGGCTGCTGGTAGCGACTGCAAATAGACCACAGGCGCCGCATAAATGTCCGGCCGGGTACGATGACTCTTGCAGCGAAGGAGAGTTTCCCCAGAAGAGATTCGAGTTCGCGCTGAGACATGGTGGGGTTGATGCTCGCTGCAGTCAACAGGCGCTTGATGTCGGCCAATTTGTCGTCAGGGAGCCGGGCTTCCATCTTCTCACAATCCAGGATAATGCCCAGGAATGTCAGGGTACGAGACGGGCCTTCCACCTTTGCAGGCGCGAGCGGGACTCCGAGGTATGAGAATGCACGGAGAAGAATGGCCAGCTGCCGATTCGCCACTGCCTGGCCCACGCTCACGCACAAGTAGTCGTCCAGGAAATGCAGCAAATTAGGGATGGAGAATTCGTGGTGCATTATCCATTCGATGGTGGCTGCCACTGCATCAAATACCGCCGGGCTAGAGCGGAGCCCAAATGGCAAGACACGGTCGTAGTAGTACTTCCCCTGCCACAGGATGCCGAGGAGATGCCAATCCTGTGGGCAGACAGGTATTTGACGAAAAGCACTCTTCACATCGAGTTTAGAGAGATAGACAGGAGACGGGGAGGACATAATGATGTTAATGGCTTCATCAATGCTGATGTACTGCAAAGAGAAAGGCTCGGCAGGGATCCCGTCGTTAACGCTGGAGCCGGCAGGGCTGGACAGGTGGTGTATCAAGCGTAGCTTGCCATTCTTTTTCGGAACAGCGCCAATGCCAGAGCAGTACATAAATGGGAATGGGGGGGGGGGGGCGAGTCAAATGGGCTAGCCGTGTAGCCGGCGTTGCAGGAAGCGGTGAGCTGTGCAGACACAAATGCAGAGTGCTGGAATGCTGATGAGAGGTTGGACGAGTGCTGGTTAGTTATGCGGTTGCCGGTAAAGCCAATGTCAAAGCCGCAGCGGAGGCCGTTAATAACATACGAAGCCAATGAACTGTCAGGGTGGTTACGGAGCAGTGATTCGAAGCGAGAAACAGAGAGGGGTGTGTGGACAGCAGGACATGCGCTTGTGAAATCAGTAGAACGTGAAGTGCAGGGAGAAATATGTACAATCGCGGAAGCTGCAGCCAAAGCAGCAGAGTTACTGGCGCCTACCGCACTTAGATCCGTTGTGGTCCTTGGACCCGCAGCGGTTGCACACATGGGCGTACTTGCACGTGCTGAGACTGCAACGCCCAGCGTTGAAGTTCCGGCAGATCGGTTGGCCATTAGACACCGTACGGACTCCATTGAAGGCTTGCTGGTTGTTACGTTGCGGACGAAAGGGACACTGGCCACCTCCGGGATGGATGAGGCGGCAGGACTCACATGTGGGCCTTGATCGGCTAGTCACGGACATTTGCCACAGATTTATGTCGATGACGTCAAAGCGCTTGCCTGGCTGAGCAGAAATGGCAGAGCGAAACTGGGTGTCGTACGACAGCCAAGCCTCCGGATAGTATTGCCTGTTGGCTGCAACTATGGTGGCTTGGTAGGAGAGCATCTCCTGCAGGCGGGACGGGTTGGCAGAACACACGACGTTCATGAAGAGAGTCCATGCCTCCAGCCATGTCGGCAAGTCGTGGACGCGTCGACGAACGGGCTGCGCCGCTCCACCTTCCACCACCTCCAGAGACTGGCCGCCACTGCTGAACTGCTGCTGAAGCTGGCGTGGGGCAGAATACGAGGTGGCGATAGTATCGGGCAGCAGCTGGGTGAAATCTACAAAGTCACCCTTCAATATTTTCTCTCGTATAGTCTGGGGAACGGAGAGATTACCAGCGTTGGAAGACTCCGCCGAAGGTTGAGTTCCAGCGGATCCAGGGGCAGTGATGGTGGCCAGCATTGGAGCGATCGCCTCCGACAAGGCAACGGTGACGGCGGAATGTACTTCCTGCCGCACAAACTGGCGCAAATCGTCATTACTGCTCCGGTCCGGGATCTGGGGAGTCGGAGAAGCTGCTGCTGCACTCTCCAGATCCTGCTCTTGCTCCTGCCGCGAGGATGGCGTGGCCGACGGAGATCGAGGTTCCCGTGCCGCCGAGCTCGACGTGTCCTGGATACTGAGCAGCAAACGGGCAAGAGGCTGGGGCTTTGTTCCGCTCGAATTCAGCCCACGGCCTTCCAGCTCGGCCCGCAAGTCCGACACGTTCATACGGCGTGCTTCAGAGGTAGACAACATGTTGTCGTGCAGTAAACGGCTGCGAGGAATCTACAAGGAGTCTGAATAATTAATTCTATTCTCAACAAACAAATTCCGGTTGCTGCTCAGTGATACTGCAAAGGAAAGCGCAAGCCAAAGTCAGCGCAGCAAGAGCTACCCAAGGCGATTTGGGCGCGCATGCGCAGCAGTTGAGTGCACGTGTAAAGCCAGCTCGATCGCAGCTAGCCATGAGATAGAGAGCAGCGCATCGGTCTTATCGCTAACTAGGGTTAGCCCGAAAGCTAACCCAACATTTATGATCCAAACAACACGAAAAAATGCATAATTTTGAAAATTTCCTAGGCCTATAGGGCTCTTTAGAAAGGGTTAAAACTTAAAACTTATTGTTTGGGATTCGGTTGGAAACCCCCCTAGTTGTGACCCTGCGTACGCGCCAGGTTTGTGCATGATGATATGATGGGTACACATTCATACAGTTTGTCCATGATGATATGATGGGTGGTCACATGACCTCTTCAGTAGTAAACACACGTTGGTGGCTTTGATCCAACAGACTAGCCGCTCACACAACAGACTAGCCGCTCACACAACTCACTTTTGGGATATTTACATTGCAGGACAATATGATACAGGTGAAAACAAGAGAGAAAGAAAACTACCTGTCCATCACGGAAGGAACAACAACTAACCAGAAAAGGAAAATATCGAAGAAACAAGTAGCGCAAGCGAAAGCCAAAACGCTCTCGTCAGCAGAACGTGCCCGTACACGTGCACCTACAAAGCACTCACAGCAGTGCAAACGAAGCCAACGTACTACACTAATCTAGATGCATCAAATAAGGAATCCAAAAAGCAACCTAAAAGTAGCCAGATAGGCAGAAGGATACACAACTGAGTAGGGTCCGCGTAGCCATGGAACCTGGGCATTGGGCCAGTGTACGCACTACCTGTCTACTACCAGTTTACAATGTAGTACAGCTGTACTGGATGTGCTGCGTCACACCAGTGAACAGTGTAGTACAGCTGTACTGGATGTGCATCACACCAGTGAACAGTGTAGGGATCCAAACCCGGTACACTGTGCATGCAGCACTAACACTACTCTTACTTGCATTCTAGCACCTTACACAAGTGCATGTACATACATGTTGTGCAGTAGGCATCGTTATATTCAAGGGCGTCGGAACCGCACCGGCTGGGGGGGCCGTCCCACTTTTTCGGCCGTTTTTTTTTAGCACACTGCAACAAAGCGCGATGATCTCAGCGCAAACGTGGCAAATCCTTGTCCCCCGATCGTGGTTTGTTGCAGAATCAAAAGTCCATGTACACTGAAATGGCACCAAATGCCTGGGAATGCTTGCAATTGGCTTCAATTTTTGAATTTTTCCCGGGGGAAGGTAATGTTTGTCCCCGATCGTAGCATCTTCTTGGTTTTTTGCAGAAACAAAAAGTCTTTCATTGTAGTTACCGTACACTGAAATGGCACCAAATGCCCGGAAACGCTTGCAATTGGCTTCAATTTTTGAATTTTTTCCCGGGGGAGGACCCCCGGACCCCCTTTCCATGGCCACCTCACCTCCAAAGTCGGAGTCAGAGACAGAGAGACAGACAGAGACACAGAGACAGACAGAGACACAGAGAGAGACAGAGACACAGAGAGACAGACACAGAGAGAGAGAACTTGTGACGAGAGAGAGAGAGAGAGAGAGAGAGAGAGAGAGAGAGAGAGAGAGAGTTACATTTATAAAGACAGGTAAGTCTAACAAATCAGGACTGAGACCTCCACAACAGGGGTTTTATGCCTGAAAGTAGGTGCATGATCAGGTTGTCAGGAAAGAGAGAGAGAGAGAGAATGAGAGAAAGAGAGATAGATGGAGAGAGAAAGAACATGTACACATGAAGCCACTGACCTGGAGTGCCTCATTGCCCAGCCTGGCATCCATATAAGTAGCTAGATTTTCATTAACACAAAACGGCACACATGTTAATTGACCAGGTGATAACAATAACTGAATAATATCTAGTGGCTAAGTCCATAGAATTCTGGTGATTACTTTCTACATACTGGACCATGCAGCAGTGACCATGCAGTGGACCATGCGGCAGTGGCTACATACTGGACCATGCAGCAGTGGCTACATACTGGACCATGCGGCAGTGGCCGCACTTGAAAGTGCTCCGGCAACTTCAGTTTTCTTTGCCTTGCTGGCGAGGACTTTGTGTCTTAGCTTGGTACATCGTCGAGTCTATCTGAGCCGATTGCAGGAGTTACGCCAGGTACACTTGTACCCTATTGGTTTGAAATCCTTCAGCAGACACTGATTTATGAGGCGTTTAACCCTTTCAGCCCTGACCGGAAAATCACCTCCCACTGGGCCAAAAATGGCAATTTTTGAAAATGCATGTTCTGGTCCAAAATTGATTGGAGATGTTGGGTATGGACATATGCACTGTGAATCCAAAGAAATTTCGTAGGATTTCATTGTACGAGACTCATAACACCATATTTAGATATGCGACTTTTGGCGATTTTTCTTCAAAATTCATTCAATTTAGGCAATTGACGACAAAGATCAGACAAGCAATGGCAAGCAGTGCTATAACTGGTCAGTGTTGACTTCACAATGGAGAAATGTTATATAACATGCTTGATATGATCCTGGTGTTCTACGGCAACCTAGACTAGAGTACAGCAACTCGTTTTATACGGCGCTTGCATCATATGTGACTTCGCGATCCAGAATGGGTCTTTCTTTTTCTTGGGCGCCTCGTAAAGCTTGAATCCTCCAGCAGCCCTACCTACTTCAAGACAAAACCATGTGATGGACAGTGAGGATGCCGAGTAACTGGAGTAGCAACCACAGCAACTGCATCAGCTATAATAGCAGCCGGTGCAGCGGCAGCGGTTGGCTCACTGTGCTCGGCGCATCCCAGGGTGAATCATCACTGGCCGCACGCGTACGTACGTACGTACGCGGCACAGGTAAAGTCATATTGATGGAGAATGCAATACTGCTCATTCTCTGATTTAGACACTCACTGGCAAGACAATCCAGCTATCAAAATAGTCTGAAGCATTCCCTAAACAGCCGAGTGCATACTGCGTACCGGTGTACGTACGCATGAAAATTCAAGAAACAATCGGCTGCGCAATTTCTGATAGTGGTTCAAAATTGCACAATTGTGGACTATTCTGGATTATTCTGGATTCATATTAGATAGCAATCTCCATCCTGTAGGTGCCTGGCTCTGTACTCAATATACAATACTTACATGTATACACATCTCTATTGTGATCTGCATGCATGTCGGACCAGTACACTTGATTTCAAATTCAAATATTTTCAAAAATCTGACCTTCAAATTTGATCGCAGTTTACTTGAGGAACTTCAGCAAACGGGCTCACGACAGATAGCTCCTGCTCAGAACACCATGCCTAGGTGTCAGAGACTTCAGCATCGCTTTCCAAATCTCTTTGGTCTTCAGTATCCCATGCGTCCGAGTCAGCTGCGATCTTTTGAATAGCAGCTAATTCGTAATCCTCAGAAAACGACTCCGACACAATTTCGCTGTCTCCAGAATCATCCTCAGAGTCATTACCCGCCTCACACTGCTTCACAGGTCTGCTTCCATCGACACAGAGTAGTTGAGCTACTTACCTTGCCGAGAAACAGCAGGGCAAGATGACGAAAACGAACTTTGAGCAAAACAATTTATTTGAAAGATATGCCAAAATACACACTTCAAACTCGATGCTCGCGGCTGTTCTGCTGTGCGGACTGGCCACATACGCTGCGTACACGTCGATCAGGTCCTTCAGCCCACTGAGGAACAGTTCCAGGCCCCACTGATGTTGAGGCATCGGTACAAACGCGACGTACACTGAGGACATATATATATATATATACGTCGTCAGTGGGGCAGGTGCACACGTCATGACGTATATATATATATATATACGTCGACAGTGGTGAAAGGGTTAAGGACTCATTCGACTCCCACATACATTGTACCACATTGGCTATTCTGGTGCATAAGGGATCACGCAGGTTCTTACAAGGCCACGCATCGGGTTTTGTGTTGCTCAGGCCCTGAAAAATTTAACGGCTTCACTAAAGCTTACGTTTCATTCTCACGGGTTCTGCTGTGTCAGAAAGAGCTCGCAATGTGGCATAGAGCGCTCTGCCGACACGTCCACGATGTTCCACCAGTGCCCACTCTTCACGGTCTGGCATACAGACCACATTCACCACATCCTTCATCTGATGAACACAGGGCAGTAGGGCAGTATCATTATTGAATAGTGATCAAACACAAGCCCCAAAGCACATCCACACACCCACGCATGCACGCTCGCTCGTGCCTTCTATGTGCAGTGTGCTATAGTAACGATATCATATATAGGAAACATTAGCTTTGTACCAAGTACTTGTAGTCTTTGTCCTACCTGCAATGGCAGATAATCAACGTGAATCTGTTGGTCCATGTCTTGTTCGAAATCCCGAGTGACTTCCGCCTGATGAGTGACTCGATACCAGCGCACAGTGTCCTCCTGGATGCCCTATTGTAGGAACACAAATGCAACAGCCATCGGCCAAGATTATTTCAATGCACATCATTGCTTCAGCCTTGCAAATCGGCGCTTTTCAAATACAGCCAAGCCTCTTTAGAACGAACACCGAGGGATCGATGGCATTTTTGAACTTTTTCACAATAACGGATCGGAGAAGGGCGAGCTAAAGTGCTGTCTCCTAGCTCGGGCTCTGGTGTCATTCGGGGAGATAGACGGTACAGTTTTGGCCCATGACTTCTTCCCTACCGCTGAAAATGAGAGTTGAAAATGCTGAAGAATCCATCATCTTGTGTATTCTGTGGCGTAATGCAAACTAAGCCCATTGGAGGAGCTGTGGTGTATGCTAGTCTGTCTATCAATTGATAAAAGCACCACACACTGAGAGTGAAAACCGGACAGCTGGGGAAGAGGTCATGATGGATACCTTTAGATTTAGTCTCACCACTGTCGTTCACTTCCGACAAAGGCAGGATGGCAGTGATGGTGGAGTTGGGGGGTGGGGGGTGGGCAGAGGTGACACTTTCACGGTGTCTCCACCAATGCGCTTCACTTCTTGCAGATAAAACACAACCAAACCAGAAATTACGTTGGCAAGTGAAACGTTTACGCAATGTCTCACATTGTCGTACCCAAGACAACTGGATGCCACGCATGCCTAACTTACATTTGCTTTTGATGATGGCCTCTCCATGACTTCATACTCACTAATCACACCATCATCCTTGTTGCTGGCAGCAGGTAAAGTCTCTTGAGGCTGGTCAGGTAAAACATTAAATGAAGATGATCCATGTCAGGCAGCAATCCACACTTCACAGGGTTTTAAATGACTTGGGACAGAGATCTTCACTTAGCCATTTCCTCTCCTGTCTGATGAGGAAATGACCCTACCCGCACAATAATATTAATTTCACTCTAGGGTCAAGACAGTCACTGGGACCTCACTATCTCCACAACTGGCACTACGGTCCTATAGGTGCGGAGATCAAGACATGATCAACACTATGGTCTGATAGGTGTGGAAATCAAGACATGATCAACACTATGGTCTGATAGGTGTGGAGATCAAGACATGATCAACACTATGGTCTGATAGGTGTGGAGATCAAGACATGATCAACACTATGGTCTGATAGGTGCGGAGATCAAGACATGATCAACACTATGGTCTGATAGGTGTGGAGATCAAGACATGATCAACACTATGGTCTGATAGGTGTGGAAATCAAGACATGATCACTGGTTGTCTATGCTGAGAGAGTACAGCACTGCGGGTGCTACATGTTACTCTATGCTGAGAGAGTACAGCACTGCGGGTGCTCCATGTTACTCTATGCTGAGAGAGTACAGCACTGCGGGTGCTCCATGTTACTCTATGCTGAGAGAGTACAGCACTGCGGCTGCTACATGTTACTCTATACTTCCACACACTTTTGCTGCGTTGCTTGGACGTGGATTCCGTTCCTCCTCTCTTCAATCAGAGACTTCTGGCAAGACAGGCATTGTTACTGCCTCTGCATGATCTCAGCTTGAACAGAATGATGTTTGAAAGGAAAATAGTAAAATAAGATAATATTCACGGGATCCGCGTCAGCACCGCTTGAATGCCGTGTTCAGAAACACACAAACTAGCCATCGCATCCACAGGCCACCAAATGCCTGTTCACCTTAGTGGCGAATGCAGACCTCACAAGTGAGTCAGGGGAGAAGAGGTTAGTCTCTCAACCAATCGGGTGTGTAACGGCCCATAACCCTGTAAACTGCATCCTTGTCATCCTCACTCCGAGCTGCGAGTTCCCAGTTGACCGTGGGTGTCAGAGCAGTTCACCATGCGTAAAGAGTCTTTTACATGCTCCCTGCTACCAGCGCGGGTCTCGAACATCATGATTCGCAGGCAGGCCTGCAAACCAATTGGCCATACGCGTACTATTATACAGAGAAGAATAAAACTGTCTACAATTCATTCATAAAATGATGGGCTCTGCCGGGCTCTGGCAAGCTCCCATGATTTTATTGTAAACAGTGTAGTGCCGCGAAATTTGAAATTTGAAAAAGGGTCCCGAAACTTGGGGCTCGGAACCGCACAATGTGCTGTTGCAAGTGGAGAGAAACGGCCTGGATTTCATGGATTTCCCAATTCAGTGCTTTTTGGGGAAAACCTAGCCGAAATCCTATTCTTGTTACAGCTTGCATTTGGGAGAAATAGACTTCAGAAACATGATTGGAAAAGCGATCCATAGGGGATTGCAAGTAAATACTTTTAAAAAAACTCTCAAAGTTTGACCCAATTATGGCCAAAAGCAAGAAGTCCATCTTTTTATGAATGGACTGTGTAGCCTTCAAGAGTCTTCTTGCACTTGTGTATAAGGGTACCGTAAAATCCCGCCAGAGCGCCCCGTCTCTCCCATCCGCCCCTCCCTGACTTCTTGTCAGGGAAGTGATTGATTGTATCCTCATATGACTCTGTCACAGTCTGTGATACACGTCTGTAGTCTGACTCCGTTGGAAATGTATGCAACAGTGCCCACCCTCTTGACCAGGGATCGCACAAACCCTGAGTTTTGACGGGCCTGTACGACTCCTGGCTCTTGACCTTTGGTCGTTGTACGAGATAACAGTTTTCGTAGGGTGAGTACTTTTTTCATGTAGTACTGAATGCCGCAATTAGGACTTGCCCATCCGCCCCTCCCCACCTGAACCTACTTGAAGCGTCGAGGAGGTAGGGGCGCTCTGGCGGGATTTTACGGTAATTATACAAGTAGAATTAAAAAAATACGATATCAAAATTTCGTCCCTGGGCCATCATTAGGATTTTAATCCTGATTGCAGTCCAGGGAGCATATCTTTTGACAGAGGAGACCGTCAGGAAAATATAGATATTTTGAAGCAATAGAATATGGGCTATTTAGACCCAATTTTCGAAAGCAATTCACGGAGAGGACCCCGCCTCGGTATGGCCGTACCAATGTGGAATACCTTCCCGATGCCTCTGCAGGCATGGATCTCATTCTGGATTGGGTTTTGTACTCCTCCACACCACACTGGTCACTGCCGGCTTATTGGCTGTTAGATTTCACTGAATTGTGTTACACATACAGCATCATGTTTTGCTAAGCAAGTAACCATGGCGATATCAAGTAAACAGTAGGCACTGAATAATGATGACCACTCACTCTTACTTTCTGCAAATTCTGATGGATATAAAGTTCATTTTATGCAAGATCCCGAAGCTCTAATTTCTGGCCGGGCAACGGATTAAATTTCTGTGACTTTCTGGTGCTGCCACAGCAATGTCAACAATAGACATTGCAAAACTGTATTCTTTGGAAACTGGTTCTGTCTCATCCCGGTACGCCAAGAAACTGGGAAAGATCGGAAGGTCTTTTCGTAAACACAGATAAGGAACTCTCTAGTGAGAGTATGAATTCCTAGGCAAATAGTTGTCTTCAAAATGGTGTCTAACTGGTTATTTAGCTTTGTAAAGTCTTCTCAGAAAAAACTCCCATTTGCTTGGTCACCTGGGCCACGGTCCCTCAGGAAGCCATGTGAACAATCCGCCGTAAATGTATCCAGTTGCCTGGTTGCCCAGGTATCCCTTAGGACACCATGTGGGCCTTATAGCATGATTTACCACAGCAAAAAAGGCAAGCAACAAAGCAAATCAAAGCAAAGCAAAAGTGCCTTACTGGTTCTAGTGTCGGTAGTGAAGTGGACTGTCTTGTTGCTGGATGGTATCCCAGCGCAGTCTGCGCTTCCGCCTTACTGATGCGTTTCACGTGACTCAGAGAAAACTGTCCTATCTCTGCATTGTTCACCATGCCATGGGCATCTCCGGCCTGACCACCGCCACCTCTCTTTGTCACAATGGCAACATCACCCATCTACGGGGAGCACAATAGCAACATCACCCATATCTAGAGACCATGCATGTACACGTAGCAACACAAAGTGTAATTCTCCACCATTTGTGACACACAGAAACCCCATACTTTTTTTATGTACACATATTATATAAAATTTAATATATACCGGTAGTATGCTCATCGGCTCAATGCACAAAACCACACTATTGCAACTAAGCATTCTACTGCACAATAATTGCACGGGTAAATACACCCTCCTCCCCCCCCCCCCCCCCCCTCTCCCCCTTCCCTCCTTTGACGATACCTATCACATTCAAGTTTCACAATACCTGAAAGCCATGCATGATCACATTGGGGAAATAAAACAAAGGTGGCAACATTACCACCAAAACATGCCCATGCTTGGTTTACCAGTAATGGAAATACTTGAATAGCTATAATTATTACAGGGGAAGTATGGTCTAAAATCAAAATTTCACCAGTTGTAGTCTCCGGGTGCCGAGTCGAAAGGTCTTGGTCCGAGGAAGCTAAGACGCTCCCTTCCTCCTTTATTCCCAATTGAACTCGCGCACTTCCACCGAAACTGGGTGACTGCGCCCTGCTGGATGGAGATTTGTGTGGAAAAATTCACTGAAAGCGTCACTGCATTCTTATAGAAGCACGGATAAATGTGAAACTTCCAGAACCTGTCGTATCCTGGACGCTGGATCAAATGGTCTTGGTCGGAGGAGGCTGTGATACAGCATTCAGCCCGTATTTCCAATCGAATGCACTCAAAGACGGCCCACGCGCGGTCCCGTACTGATGCGTATACCAGCTTACTCGGACCAAGACTATTTGACTTAGCACCCCGAAGACTACTTAAGAGAGCATGTCTGAGAAAACCAGAACATATGTGCAAGTCGATCTCTCAGATTTCGCTCAAATTTTGCAGGTAGGTTTGCTTTGGGGTGTAGATCGACATTCCAAAGCCCGCACAAAATCTTTTGAAGGGAACCATGAAATTGGTATACCCCTCAATATTGGCCCAATATTGGCCCGATTTATGGGTCAACAAACGAGCCACGGCACAGCGTGCAAGAACAAGCTACGAACAAAACTCCATCAAGCAATCATTACCTCACCTTAGAAGAGTTCTTGGGGCAGCACTACTTAGCCACGCTAGCATCCCAGAAGACGAGGGCAATCATCCCTTGACGCCACAAATGATCGTCTTGAAAATAGCCAAATTACAAGCGCTGATAAAACAGCGAGCTACGTCCTCAATTAGCAAACACTCTACACCGGCAGATAGTAGAACACCTCTTCTAGCACTGAGGACATGTCCCCCATCATCCTTTTGGGGTTTTCTTGAAATAAACAATTTTGAATTTTTCCACTCGACCATTCTGAAATACGTCCAAACTCATACCTGCGCAGGAAAGCTCACCCCTCCGCGACGTCTAGTCAGCAATTTCTACTCCAACACCACTCCCAACGCTGCAGAACAAAGTGTATTGTTGACTCTGACAAGGAAAAGTAGCGGTGATCACTTGTCACTCCAAACGACAAGCTTCTCCTTGCGCCACCAACATTTTTCGTTGCAACAGTTGATGCAAAAGTGACTGAATTTTTGCGTGTAGTTTTTGGATTTTCCTGCAAGAGGAATGAAGAAATCACGTGGATCGTGACGTAGAATAATGCTTTCTGGTACACGACACAATGCACACGATCACGATCGTTCCTGAGGCGCTATTCGAAACGGACCATGAGGGAGGAGGTAAGATGCATTGTATTTCTTGCATGCTCTGCTCAGAACATGCAGAAACTATCGTTATAACGCTAGCATTATTGCATTGACAAGAATTCTTGGAGATATTTCCTCTTGCAGTAAGAACAGGGATGCATTTTTTCACACTAACCTCGCTCATCCCGAACATGGTTCAACAGGAACTACGGCTGGTTTACATGCTGATGATCCACGTAGATCTGCAACAGCAAGGAATGAGCGTGGTCCATGCCATCAAGGTCGCTTGGAGTTGACCAGCACGCGGCCAACACTGGTTGCATGAAGTATGTGGCGTGGCCACATGGCAGATTTCTTACGTCATGAACAACGTGATTTGACCCTACATGCCCGTCTCTGTGCTGCATGTTGAGGGAAAGTCCCAGCTGGAAGGCCTACAACACGACATGTGTGCTCTTGAGATGGACATCAAGATGCACTTGATCCGATCTAGATCAACGGGTGATCCATGTAAGTGCAGGAGCGCTTGATCAAGGTGACTCGGAACAACTGCTGAACCGTGATCTACGAGACCTGGCATTCTTGTGTCACGAGGCACGTGATTTCATCATTCCTCTTGCAGGAAAATCCAAAAACTACACGCAAAAATTCAGTCACTTTTGCATCAACTGTTGCAACGAAAAATGTTGGTGGCGCAAGGAGAAGCTTGTCGTTTGGAGTGACAAGTGATCACCGCTGCTTTTCCTTGTCAGAGTCAACAATACACTTTGTTCTGCAGCGTTGGGAGTGGTGTTGGAGTAGAAATTGCTGACTAGACGTCGCGGAGGGGCGAGCTTTCCTGCGCAGGTATGAGTTTGGACGTATTTCAGAATGGTCGAGTGGAAAAATTCAAAATTGTTTATTTCAAGAAAACCCCAAAAGGATGATGGGGGACATGTCCTCAGTGCTAGAAGAGGTGTTCTACTATCTGCCGGTGTATAGTGTTTGCTAATTGAGGACGTAGCTCGCTGTTTTATCAGCGCTTGTAATTTGGCTATTTTCAAGACGATCATTTGTGGCGTCAAGGGATGATTTCCCTCGTCTTCTGGGATGCTGGCGTGGCTAAGTGGTGCTGCCCCAAAAACTCTTCTAAGGTGAGGTAATGATGGCTTGATGGAGTTTTGTTCGTAGCTGGTTCTTGTACGCTGTGCCGTGGCTCGTTTGTAGACCCATAAATCGTGCCAATATTGGGCCAATATTGAGGGGTATGCCAATTTCATGGTTCCCTTCAAAAGATTTTGTGCGGGCTTTGGAATGTCGATCTACACCCCAAAGCAAACCTACCTGCAAAATTTGAGCGAAATCTGAGAGATCGACTTGCACATATGTTCTGGTTTTCTCAGACATGCTCTCTTAAAAGTACAACTGGTGAAATTTTTATTTTAGACCATATTTCCCCTTTCAAACCTAGTACCAACAGTGCAATGCTTATCAGCACCCTCTCTTCCAACTCAGGCCTTACCTTAAGTGGTAGCATTTTCCTTGATTTGGGGGCACAGTCTGCAGTAGCTTGTACAAATGCCAAGGCGTTGTTCCAGTAGTAATGGATTGTTGTCCCTAAGCACCAGTACATGCAACACATGCAAATCGACTCCATGTCCAACCAAGGAGATGATATTCAGCGGAGCAAGCCAAGCCTTAAAATGCCCTCACACATATACAGCAAGGCAAATCTCCAACCGACAACAGATGTTCACGTCACAAACACTCTCGAGCCATCCACGAGTGGTGCTGTGCGCACTCCTTTGAGGTCAGACTTCCGTACTGTCTCACAGTCAAAGCGTCAGGCATGCAGCCTCCCCCCCCCCCCCCCCCCACCATCTCCACGCTAGATAGAACTAACACAGAACTAATCCGAAATAGTCAGCTGCAACTCGATAGAACAGAGAGTGACTTTAAAAAAATGACAAGGAGGCAATGGAATACAGGAAAGACTCAAGGCGAAGACAAGGATAACAGTATCAGGCACATACACCAACAACACGAACATATGACATACGCAAGATATCCAACTGCAATGCTGTCTTCACAAAATTGTTTTCAAGTCGTTGTAAGCAATAGTTCTTGCAAAGTCTTGCTACAATAGCCATACTTACTGTCTACATGTTTGGTGCTTGAGTCACTGTCACTCTCTGTGGAGATATTCTGTTACACACATAGCAACATCATAAAGAACCTCACTGACACTCTCTGTGGAGGTGTTCTGTGATACAGTTAGCAACATGAGAAACAAACGAAATGGAGTTCATGTTACAGAATAGCAGTCAGAGCCGATTTGACATGGTGTGTACCTGAAAGACCGCAGAAAACATAGTGTGTTCCCGACAACACCAGTGGGAAAAAGTTTAAAGACAAGAGAGTGAATTGTAAGTTCAACCAATAAGAGTCCATGGCCAAGAGTAAGCAGTGCTTGATTTTTGCAGTGTGTGGATGTAGCTGCATGATGTAATCAGGAAGGCAACACACTGGCCCATAGAAAACAGATCACAGTTACACACTCATGGTTGAAAACAATCTGGTTGAGACAATCCTAGGAGCTCACCAGAACAGCCACGTGGTAGAGAAGACTTTCAGCACCAGGAACAGGGACAGGTGTAGCACCAACACACTGCAGGAATGACGACAACCCGTAGTGCACATCATGAGAGTTTGACTGCTGCTGCTGACGGCACTCTTTGATGTCATCTAAAATGCAGTCTCTACCCGTACCCTCTCATGCAGTGATTGCGCATGTTAACAGGGCTTCACTATGGACATAGGATGTTAGGGCACATGTGGGAAGGCAGGGGGGGGGGAGGAGAGATTGCGTATTGAAAAGGGCTAGTATGTTTGCGATCGTACATGTACCTCGTAAGGCGCACAGAGGGGAAATAATGTGCACCCTGCCCCTCCCCTTACCCAAATATTAGACCACTCAAAGTAGAAACTGAGATGTTGCAACTTCAGCAGTTATCTTAGAAGTTAGTTATGCCAAAGTTTGGCGCTCGCGCTTCCACTAAGTGCGTTCGAGGAAGTACGTTTCAAGTCTCAAGTTGAAATGTAGTGTGAAATTTTGAGCCTGAAATAGGTGGCATCAAAAGTGTGCACAATGCTCCATGAAGTATGCTCAGCTGAGTCAGCTCACTATGAATTCATACCAATTCCTAGGCATGGTAACATTGATATGCAGAGTGAACTACCTAGATAATTATACCGCTGTATGTAGGCTGGACTGAACTCACCTCGGATTTAACCTGGGAGTTGGATACCTTCTTGCCCTAAACAGAAGAGGGTAGCAACAAATGTATTGCCGGAGACAGATAGAGCGCACTTCACAACACTTGTGATAGACTCAGGGTTGTGAAGGACCAAGACACATGCCCAGCGTTGAGTACACCTTTGCCCTAGCTACAAATGCAGCGTCTAGTCGTATACGCAAAAAAGGCACATATCCTTTAGGTCACATTCGATTGCAGGGCTTGAAATCGATGACTTCAGAAGTCGATATATAACAACTTCTGGTTCAAATTAGCTACACTCTGAGCAAAAGTATGTTATCTGATGGGCAGACCACTAGTGCCGCATACCGTCGGCTGGTGTGCATGGCCAGCAATCGAGGACATCTGAGAGTTGTAATTTTTGTACTCCTCCGAGGTGTGATTTTTGGCGTGCTGGGCCAAGCACAAGGAAGCCATCTGCCAAAAAAATGAAGAAAATGGTTGTTGTTTGATCCTTTGGTGTAAACTTTGTAGCTAGTCGAAGGAAGTTGCTGTTTGGAGCAGAAACGCTGAAATTGACTATTTTCTGCATGTACTCATAAAAAAAAATAAAAAAATTTCACGGTTCGCGTGAGACTCGGCTGGAAGCCGAGTTTTCCGCATCCGCCGTGGGAACGCCACCACCCTCTAGGATCAAAGGCGCAGATGCAGCGCCTAAACGGTGGGAGGTGAGTAGATCAGACCCACCACCAAGTGGTCAAAGACCGAAATCCCATTAGCTGCATCCTGCATCCATGTACTCATGCATGTACTCATGTACTCAGGCATGCAGTCTCACTCGTATTTTAGCTCTTTTTCTGGAATGGAGGCTGCTCTGCGCCCCTTGGTGAACATTTCCTGCGCTCGTGGAGCAGCTGAAAAGGACCACTGGTATGTCTGGTTCCTGGTTTGAAAGTGGAGAGTCGACTTTTGTGCCTTGAAAAAGGAGTAGAGAGTGGTAAAGGTACGTCTGTAGCTTATTTTGAGTGCTTCTCGTACAGTTTTGATCGTGATAGAAATTCTCAGACCAAAGTCAGCGCGAAGATGGCCGTACAGTTTTCTTGTGGATTCTTTAGTTGTATCGTTTCGTATCTATGTCAGTATCGTGATGGTGAAGTGGAGAGGGTGATTTTCTTCCTCTGGGCTTCGTTTGGCCGACTTTGCTTCGTCCTCGTTGAAAAGTGATGCTGAAAAAAGGTCGATTAGCATAATTATGTTCATTTTGAATGTACGTGATGACATGCGATTGCTGGCTATGAGTTTTTTTTTCGGTATCAGCCATGTGCCCCCGCGAGGAGAGCTAAGTCCGGATGTATCACAATGCTGTCAAGGAAATCACACAAACATGTGTGGATACACATAAAGACTGGATCCAAGAGGATCTAAAGGTCAGTGTTGTCAGGACGCCATCCTGGTTATCTCGCAGTATTTTTTCAAGCCCTATTCGGTGCTACCAGCCACAGGGAGACGGTATCATCTGTTCATATTTTCTATTACAAAACTGTAACGACTCCGGTAAAATTCCAACGACGACGACTTGCAGTGGGGGTGCAGTATCGTCCTCGCCGACCATGTCCATGCAAATATCTATATCCCAGGTATCCCAGGATTCTACCACTGGCACAACATCGCCCCCGACGTCCTTGCGCACCTTTCTCGACACAGAAGAAACACGTTATGACGGAAAGCGCCGGAGTAGCTCGCACCAAAACGTCACTTGGGACCAGGGGAGTCGCCTCACTACCACGAGTAGTCGACAGTCGGCGACCTCACGGCATGGAAGGTGTGTGCAAGCGTAGATGGTGTCGGTATGCCGTGTGTATGCCGTACCCAACACCAGAGCGCAAAGTGGTGTTCATTATAATGCTACACTTTCAAGCAATGCATCTACAAGACAACAGAAGGAAAGCCATAAAATCGATCTTCTGACTTCGACTGGAGACCGAGTGTGTAGAGTACTCTCTAGGAGTCACTGTTGCATACCACTGTTGCATACCACTGTTGCATACCACTGTTGCATACCACTGTTGCATACCACTGTCGCATACCACTGTTGCATACCACTGTTGCATACCACTGTTGCATACCACTGTTGCATCAATCAGATGTGAATAAATCCAGGGGTGGGGTTTCACGTGGCACCACCGTGTACCAGTATAATTGTGTCTGTGCTGGATGGGAATGCAGTCAGGGTTACTTACCCAGAACTTTCGCTTTGACTTCGCTCTCTGAACTCCCACACCCGGTCCCGCAGCACCACCCTCTGTATTGTGGCAAATAACAAAAGCATTGCCAGTCTTCCTTCTGTAGGCATGTACATGTGTGCAAATAATCTGTATTCATTCCTACAGCCCCCAGCATGAAATGGGAAGTCATGGGGGGGGGGGGGGGAGGATCTAGATTCTAGATAGAGCCAGTTGCGCAGGATATAGATTTATGACTCTGAAGTTATGAGTCTATGAAGCTACAATCATAAGTTCACACGAGGCACGGGGAGGACTAGACAAACCCTACTCTGCTTTAACCCAATAGCCGCATTGCTTGCTACATATCACATTACTTGCAATAGCATGATGGAAGGCACGTCTAACTTAGGCAACAACCAGTCTGCAGTACACATGTAACACTCATACTCCTCCAATCTCTCTGGAGGCGTGGGTTCAAATCCCACCGCTGCCAGTCTTCCACTATTCTCACACTCATACAACCAGATAAAGGCACATAGTTACGGACTGTAAGCTGTTGTTCATTCACTCACAAGGAGGAGAAGACAAAAAGCAGTGTGAACATGCGCACAGCTTGCTATGAATATCTACGGTGTACTATTTGAGCCGCAATCAGCGAAAACGACCCTTAGAGATTTCGTGATTTTTCGAGAAAAAGGTCGATTTGTGACGTTCAACGATTTTTTTGATCGCACTGCGAACAGCGCGCATAGCCAGCAATCGCATGTCATCACGTACATTCAAAATCAACATAATTTTTCGAATCGACCTTTTTTTCAGGATCACTTTTCAACGAGGACGAAGCAAAGTCGGCGGAACGAAGCCTAGAGGAAGAAAATCACCCTCTCCACTTCACCATCACGATACTGACATAGATACGAGATGAAACAACTAAAAAATCCACAAGAAAACTGTACGGCCATCATCGCGCTGACTTTGGTCTGACTTTGGTCTGAGAATTTCTATCACGATCAAAAATGTACGAGGAGCACTCAAAAATAAGCAACAGACGTACCTCTATCGCTCTCTACTCCTTTTTCAAGGCACAAAAGTCGACTCTCCACTTTCAAACCAGGAACCAGACATACCAGTGGTCCTTTTCAGCTGCTCCACGAGCGCAGGAAATGTTCACCAAGGGGCGCAGAGCAGCATCCATTCCAGAAAAAGAGCTAAAATACGAGTGAGACTGCATGCCTGAGTACATGAGTACATGTATGAGTACATGCAGAAAATAGTCAATTTCAGCGTTTCTGCTCCAAACAGCAACTAGCTTCGACTAGAAACAAAGATTACACCAAAGGATCAAACAACAACCATTTTCTGCAGTTTTTTTGCAGATGGCTTCCTTGTGCTGGGGCCAGCATGCCAAAAATCACACCTCGGAGGAGTACAAAAATTACAACTCTCAGATGTCCTCGATTGCTGGCCATGGACGACTTCTTCTTGCTTGAAGTAATTTATTTTGAATTAGTTGAAGTGATGTCGAGTGGCGACTCCAGTGTTCCTTGATCGTGTTGCGATGGCTGCGGACGCCAGAGCTGTTCGCAGCGCACACACGGCAGTCATTGTCTACAGCTAGCTCGAGCCTGGTGGGGAGTGGATGCTGAAGTAGCCTCTGAAGTTCAGAATGAGGATGAGACGTTCATTGGTTCCGACATCGATGTCGACAGCGAGGCGGAATCGCAGCCGTCATCTCCTGCTGCGATGCGGCTCAAGGTGGCCGATGACTCGTCAGAGTCGGAAGATGAGGAGTCGTCACCCGAGATAAATTCTGAGTCTGGGGCTAGTGACGGCCGCGACGTCGTGTCTTCAGCTGCGGAGGAAGAAATGGAAGACGAGATTGCGGAACGACTCCACGCAGGATGCAGCTGCGAATATGTCGATCATTTCCCCGCACTCATCAGCTATTCTTTGTCATTATAGCTGCTTACTGCACTATTTCAAAAGTATTCAAGCTGCCCACCCACCTTCGAATGCTGAATATTCATTGTACATATACATCGTAAACATACATTGCACCAATTTGGAGTACATCTTGTATATTGGTGTATACACCATGAATATTGAACTTTTTCTTGGCTGAGGTCCTTCAGTAGATGTGGTTCAACAAATTTCAAACCGAAAAGGAATTTTGAAAATGTTGACCCTAAGGGCTGTTTTCGCTGGTTGAGGCCCATTTATGTGTATACGCATTATGTGTGATAAAATACCTTATGCATATAGGTGCAGTGAGAAACCCGGCAGCATAACCTACCCTCACAATCTACAGTTGGCAGAGGGGGCTGCTGAGGTATTACCTGGACATGAACGAACGGCAGAAATCGCAATGAAGACCTATTTAAATAGTTTCACTTCATTCACTGCCACATTTTTTAAAGATGATATCTAGCCTCGTTTGCGTGGTGCAGCCAAGGACTGTTTGTGTATGTGTTTTGGGTTGGATGACTATTGGAAAGATGACAAGGCTGCAGTGAATTTTAAAAGTTCTCAATAGATGTCATCTTGCATGCGAAGTTTACATCAAATAAAGTTAAAGCAGATATGCGATCGCTGTGGACGCATGAGTGCTAGCCCGAGCAGCCGTCGATATTTTTTTGAGAAGGTCGTCCATGCAATTTGAAATCTGAATGCTCGTGGTGAACCTTGACTTTGTGAGTAGAATCAGCTCGTGAGCATACAGCCAAGTGGCTTGCTCTTTCTTGTAAGATACATGTATGAAGTTGTGTGGATTTGTGCTTGAATTGAATTCTCTGAATTCTCTGAAGTCGCTTCAGTTTGTTAATCCTGCACGGCATGTAGCAGAACCGTATGATCAGCACAACTACCGTGTCAGTACCGTATGACCCCCCCCCCCTTCTGTTGTGTGCTCATGGGGTGGGGTTGATGAGCATTATAACCATGGTGCTATAGGACATGAATCTATGATCAGCCATTTGATACTCCCACGGTACATAGCTTAGTTACTGTTCCACCATTATGTAGGAAGGGGTTAATCCTGAACACTGACAAACGGTCAGAGGGTGTGAACATACGATACCTGTATACATTACATGCAGAGTAGCATGGTATTGCAGGACCACGCCATGGTATTGCAGGAGCACGCCATGGTATTGCAGGAGCACGCCATGGTACAATTCACGTCCTTTCCCGGGTGACTCACACACACACAAACAAAGGTGGGGTGCTTGGGAGACAGAGGAGAGGCTTGGGAGAGGCACACACTCTGGTAGTAGTGCACGGTACTAGCACTGCATGCTTTAGTATTCTTTGATCAGCTACTGGCATGAGCGGACAGCAAAAGCACGAGTGAATATCAACAATGCGCCTTACTGAGTTTGGTAAACGGCTTGGAGTGCTCTGAGCACGATCCCGCATCTTCTCTTTCTTTGCAGATCTCCCTGCTGAGTTCAAAGAGTTCAAAGAGTTCAAAGATGGAAACAAGAATTGCATTGTCATGGGAGCATATAGGAAGGATCTCCTTAACTAGCAAGCACAACATTCTCTTATAATTTCCCTCAGAAACAAACTGCAGGGTAGGCAGCAGACGGCCAGTTTGTGAAAAATGCTAGCAGCCCAAAAGAAAATTACTCACTTTCCCTTTCATCAGCCAACAAGACACATGCACACCAAGGGCAGATCAATCCGTTCTTCACGTGTTGTGGATAATCATCTACTAGGATATCATTACCTTTATCATGCTTGCTTTCATTGAACTCAGCAATCTGTTTAGTGGTGCAAAGCAGAGCCAAAGTTGCAGTAAGGGAGAGTGAATACCAGTAAACACACATACAATGTACAGATATCCACATCAATGATGATGCCACACACTCAGTGGGCTCACCTCAATATAGACACCACACACTTACACTGATACAGTTCCATTATTTTATCACTACACGAAGAGAGTTCATCTTCGTCTCTTGTCACAAGATATGGATGCTTAAAACCTCACGTCATAGTACATTTGAGACCAGCGGGAAGATGACGACGTCCACTAAATTAGTATCTGTGCACACAAATCTGCTGTGTGTGTGACTCTGTGTGTCAGCTATGACATCAACCCCTGTGGTTCCATGCCTAGCATGTACATCTGAACCATCCTGCAAAGTTTGAATGACGTAGGTTGAGCGATCGCTCCGCGAAACATACTGTTTGAAATTCTCTTCATAGTATATCTTCCACTATTGAAATTTCGAATTTCTTGCCGAGAGGGGTGGCTTGCAACCTCGATATGGCTTGTTCCAGGCATGCTTTGGAGCCATCTTCTGTTGAAGTAGTGGCAGGGATCTGCACTGCAACTGCTACAACAAAAAATGATTCGATCTGAGAAAGGGTGAGACCGCGAATCTCGGTTGAATATTGAGTATTTCAAGCCTTTTCACGACGAAGATGGAGTTCTTTTTGGAGATGGACGGCAAAGGACATGGTGTCCGACTTCTGGCGTCTGGTGAAGCCAGGGATCATTTGTCCAGTCAGGTCGGCAGCCTAACCGTCGGTAAGCTTGTGTTTGGATCCCGTTCTGCTCGATGTGGTAGATCACAAACAATTGGATATCGCACAAATTGATCTCAGCATCGTGCGTACGGTATTTTATATTCAGAAAATCCCAAAGTGTCTCTGTGTGGCCGTCCTATGACACGAGAAACTCCAATGAGGCTCCTATGTCCTCTGCCTTCATGATTGACCACTACTTCGTTTGAACAACGAACACAACAATCGAGGACGGCTTTGCAATGAAAAATACAGCTATTGGAGCTGAAAAAAAGAAGAAAAAACCGTGCTCAGGATGAGACTCGAGTACACGCATACTCTCCCAGCAGGTGAAAAATGCGTGTCGCCGACTGACCAGTAATTTCGCCTGACGCCTCCCCGTATCATTTTGGCTTAGCATTCAATCTGGTTTGCTTCAGTGTCTAAATGCTGTTGTGCAAAGCTCACTATTTTCCTCACAGTTAGAGTACTTTGACCTTCATGTTCAAGCCATTAAAAAAATTGTTGTTCACTCGACTTCATGTGGTTGGTTCACTGATCAGGCCCTTCGAAATCTGAGTCGGCTGACAAACAGGCAGCCTTGCCAAATGTTGCAATTCCAGTGCAAGGGGCGTATAGCAGCTTACTGCATCAGCTAGCACAGCCTTGACTTCTTTCCCACAGGATGATGGGTTCTTCTTGGCCATAGCCAGTGGCGTGTTTCCGTGCGACGTTCTCCGGAATAGCTCAGCCTTCAGACTGTACTTGATGCCCGCTGACTGTGTGGTTAAGATCTCGGCAAAACGAGGCAAGCCAAACTCAGCAGCAAAGTGAAAAAGATTGGCTTTGTCATTGTTGTAACATAATCGGCAACCTAGAAGACAAGAAAAACAAGGAAACACAAGATTGATGAAGATTGTAAAGATAATAAATTTTGTATTGAATTGAAGTTACGGTTAAGTGACCCGTCAGCCGTAATCAGTTGATTGTTCGTGTATTACAGTTTCACTGTGAGAACTGAGCATATCGGCTTGGGCTAGTTTGTTCCTGTGTGCATTTAATACTCCACTTAGAAATATATAGAAATGTAGCTTACTGTGCAGTCTGGAGTGTTGAGGGTCTTCGAGCATGGATTCTCTGGACACCCCTCCCCTTTCTGGTAAATTTGCACAGAGCAGAACATGTGGTTTACGTCATTTTGACAAGGTTGTGCTATCTTTACCATGATATTGCTGTATTCCAGCAGATCACTGTGCAGAAAAGTCAAAAACCTCCATCCCTCACAGAAGATTGGCTGTTTGAAATACTGTATTCACATCTCTCAATACAGTACACTCCACTTTTAAATTGAGCTTTTCTCCACACTGCGCAAAACTACATAAATCACCTCTTCGGATCCGGAGGCGTATAAACAACTTCCACAGTGTCATGTCCTGGACATGGACCATATGTATGTAGTGCGCATGCTCGCACGTGAGCTGGGTCTTTTTCGGATATGGAGTTTGAGACGAACTGAAATCTGTAATGGCCTCGAGTGTGTGTGTGATCGAGCTGGATGAGTCCGAGTAGAACCCACCTGGGGTAGGACACAACAACTGGCGACGAAGATATGGCTCGGATATCATCGCTTCAGCCGTTTACCGGCGGCGACTTTGAAGAGTTTGAGGAAAGACTTGAATTCTATTTCTTTGCCAATGATATTGGAACCGTGGCTGCTTCGGCCAATGCTGCAGACAAGTTGGCTGCCAGCAAGAAAAGGAAGGCTGTATTAGTGAGTTTGCTGTCTGCGGAAGTCTACTCGATTTTGAGGAGCCTCTGTCTGCCAGCGAAAGTAGCTGACAAGAAACTGTCGGAGATTTGCGATCTTTTGAGGAAGTATTTTCAACCTGCAATTTCGCAAGTTTCGGCGACGTTCAATTTCCATCAGTTGAAGCAGAAGGAAAATGAGTCGACTGCGGATTTCATCATTCGTCTGAAGAGATTGGCTGTGAGGTGTGAGTTTGCTGATCACCTCGATCGAGCGCTTCGAGACCAGTTTATTGCTGGCTTGAGCAGCTCATCCACTCGAAATTTCTTATTGACGAAAGAAGATACTTCGGCACAGTCGTTCAATGACATCGTCAAACTAGCTTTGACGCAGGAATCGGCTGCGCGCGCGGCCGTGCAGCTGACCTCTCAGCAGGAAGTGCACAAGGTGAATCACCGGCCAGTGGAATCGCGTTCGCAGGCGCAGTCTGGTGTTTCTCGTCAATCTCATCAATCTCGAGAGCAGAGATTGTGCTACCGCTGTGGGTCTACTCAACACTTGGCGGATAAGTGCAAACACAAGGCCACTGAGTGTCGTCACTGCCACAGGAAGGGGCACTTGGAGCGTGTTTGTCGGCAGAAATCTACGTCAGGCGCGTCGGTGCACAATGTTGTGACTGATGACGCAGGTGAGCATGAATCTGCTGATCTTGAGTGCATGCCAATGTTCCACATTTCGGATCAGGGCGAATTGAAGAGCAAATCTGTGCCCTCCTACAAATTGGAAATTGCTGTGAATGATGTTCCTGTTGTAATGGAAATCGACACGGGCAGTGGCATTTCAATCATTTCTGTCCATGATTTTGAGTCACTTGGGGTGTCTCGTACAAATTTAACCAAACCGAGTGTACGCATGACCGGTTTTTCTGGGGCAGAAATCAAATGTATTGGTGAAGGGAAGTTCAATGTCAGCATTGATGGTGTGGAGAAACCAACACTACTCCGTGTGGTGGATAATGGTGGTCCGTCATTGTTGGGCAGGGATATGTTGTCCCAATTTACTCTACCGTGGAAACAGATTGTCAATGTCAATCATGTGCAAATGGATGGTAGGAGGAGAGCTCTCATTGAGGAATTTGAGGAGCTGTTCGATACGACTCAGGTTGGCAAGCTGAGGTCGGCTCAAATCACCCTGAGAGTGGATGATTCTGATCCAATTTTCCACAAGGCGCGTCCCGTACCGTTTTCTATCACGGAGAAGTACGAGGAGGCTTTGGAGAAATTGGAAGCAGAGGGAGTTATTCGCAAAGTTGCGCACTCCAAATGGGCATCGCCTACTGTGCCAGTACTGAAACCGGATGGTAGTATCCGAATTTGTGCTGATTACTCTCGCTCAATCAATGCCAAGTCTGATTTGGAGCACTACCCGCTACCTACTATTGAGGAAATGTTAGCGAAATTGTCGGGGGGAGATAAATTCACCAAATTGGATCTCTCCCAAGCCTATCACCAACTGGAGCTTGATCCAGCTTCTCGGCCGTACACAACAATCTCTACTCACAAGGGGTTGTATGAATACGTGAGATTGCCGTTTGGCATTCACTCGGCAGTGGCAATTTTCCAACGCACAATGGAATCCATATTGGCAGATCTGCCTGGGTGCATCGTCTATGTGGATGACATCCTGATTACTGGGAAGGATGAGGATGAACACCACAACAACCTGATCAGGGTACTACGTCGCCTACAGGAGGTCGGGATGAAGCTTAATCCCAGTAAGTTTCATTTCATGATGGATGAGATTTCCTACCTGGGTCACACGATTTCTAGTGCTGGTGTGGCTCCTACAGCGGATAAGATTGAGGCAATGCGGGACGCTAAGGCTCCTTCGAATGTTAACGAGCTTCAATCATTCATTGGAACGGCGAATTTCTTGCGACGGTTCATACCTCATTTCGCAACAATAATGGTACCTCTGTACAATCTGGTGAAGAAATCTGCTGAATGGCAATGGGACCCCGGAATTTCAGTGCGGCCAAGCTGTCCTGGCTTTGAATTTCGGCAAAGGAGGAGATAAGTGGGCCCCAGCCGTGGTCACGGCAGTTCTCAGTCCGATGACGTATCAGATACAAGTCGGTGATGCAATGTGGAAACGCCATCGCAACCAGCTCCGTCCTCGGCAAATCCCTCAGTTCGATGCAGGGCTGTCTGAGCAGAGTGGAGCAAGTTTAACAGCTCAGGTTCCGTCACAGCCGGTCTCAGCAACAACCGGTACTAGTGAGTCTGCGTCGGTTAGCACTTCACGTGCCAGCTACAGCAAGACGTCGTCACCGCAAGCTGAACGACGGTCAACCCGCGCTACTGTTCGACCAGTTCGTTTCAAGGATTGACGTTCAGAACACACAGTTCATATAGACCTACTCTAGTCTGTGGAGTTTTAATGATATATTTTGGACTCTGCTGGATATTGTATATAATTATATATTTATGGTGTATATATGGTGTATAGTGTATCATGAAATATTATGTCTCGGCAGTTGTGAGTTTTGTGATTGCATCTTGATATGTTTACTATTGCGTAGTTCTAGATGCTTCGCCTCAACTAGTGAGGGGGAAATTGTCATGTCCTGGACATGGACCATATGTATGTAGTGCGCATGCTCGCACGTGAGCTGGGTCTTTTTCGGATATGGAGTTTGAGACGAACTGAAATCTGTAATGGCCTCGAGTGTGTGTGTGATCGAGCTGGATGAGTCCGAGTAGAACCCACCTGGGGTAGGACACAACACACAGCCCCTCCAATGTGGTTTGGAAATACACAGTTTGTCCAAGCCGATTGGTAGGACGTGTAGCTGGTTGCCTCGTTATTGCCTGTGGTTGTGTATCCGGCACGTATCCAGCATCTGCTAGCTGTCCTATGGCTTCATAAGAGAATGTTTATTTATTGCCAGGAAAAAGATAGAGCATGAACAAGACTTAGCTATCAAGCACTCACCTTCAAACAGTGATTTGACCTCTATTGATGTGATGAGCGGTGGTCGTTGCTGCATAGCCGATACCATCATGGCATCTACAGCATTGTAGTTCTGTAGTACCTCCTCAATGGGCAGGGTAAGCAAACTGACGAGCAAGTAGCGGAAGTCCGGACAAGAAATTGGCATTGCATAGCACAGCTTCAGGGACATGTTGTCTTGGAACTGAAACTGTGTTGAAACCTTGTACTGGTGCTGCTGTGTCGAGTCGGTGTGAACCGCGTCTACCACAGTGACATCAGTCACATCAGTACGGCCATGGTCTGGCCAGTACAGAATACACACAGAACCACAGGCAACGTGAGAAGTTGAATATCTGCAGGAGTAGGGTACAAACTTGTCAAATGTAAAACAGCAATCTCTGGACTCTCGTCTGGCTATGCCCCATACTGTACCGTGCTCTAAAACTCCCAAAACCCGATTGGACCTACAAGAGGGGTGGTGCCTTACCCGAATGGTGCACGCAAACAGATTCGGAACATAAAACCGTAGCTTCTCCAAACGTTGTCAGAACTCTTGTTATTGTCCCACATTGTCTATCAAAGTTATGGTTTTAGACAAGAAACGAGGCGAGTCGGGGCGAGTTTATATGTACGTACAATTAATGAGTTACGCAGCGACAGAACCTCATGCGGACAGCACTCAGAACCTCATGCGGACAGCACTCAGAACCTCATGCGGACAGCACTCAGAACCTCATGCGGACAGCACTCAGAACCTCATGCGGACAGCACTCAGAACCTCATGCGGACAGCACTCAGTTGCATGCACGTGCCATTTTCTTGCTTCTTTTTTTACACAATGTGCACACTAGCTGTACTGCATGGGACCATGTACGTACAATTTCACACATTTGGATGTGCCATATGCATACAGTAATACGGACAGACTCAGTATGTGTGTTCCGTTATCCGGTTCCCTTGCCTATCCGGAATATTTTTGTGGAAAACGGATGTGTGCGGTTATGGCAGATCTGACTGTACACAAAAGCAAATTGGAACAGGCTTACCAGGCAGGATACACTCAAGCAGACCATTTTTCACTTCGCTGGCATTGGCCGTGCTGCAAAGTGAGCGGTCAAACACACTCCGGAAAGAAACACGGTACTTGGTTGCGGGTGCCGCAGTGGCCGGCAGAGTTATAACAACTTTACCGCCACCCTAGTGATTGGCAGAGGACACACACACGCACACACACACACGCACACACACACACACACACACACACACACACACACACACACACACACATACACACACACACGCACACGTGTGCACATGCACGCACACACACGCACACGCACACACACACACACGCACACACATGTACAACACACACACACACCTTGGTCCTTGGTAACACTGCCATCAAATGATCACGTGTCCCCTGTGCAGGGGTCGACAGCACTGTGTCCCCTGTGCAGGGGTCGACAGCACTGTGTCCCCTGTGCAGGGGTCGACAGCACTGTGTCCCCTGTGCAGGGGTCGACAGCACTGTGTCCCCTGTGCAGGGGTCGACAGCACTGTGTCCCCTGTGCAGGGGTCGACAGCACTGTGTTCAGTACTGGATCTAGAAATGCCACTCTACTTCTTGGACAGAAAATTAGCACAGCTATGCAGGTCGAAACCTCGGGATGACCTGCAGCAGCGACCGCAGCCGAGACAATGCGCTCTGCAGCAGGGCAGGGCAACCCGCTGTTTCCAGACCAAATCTGCCGATGCCACAGCCGAGACCGATGCCGAGGCCACTTCAGCAGCCAAGTTGGAGAGACACTTATGCGAAGCTAGCCCGCCAGCACTCAAAAATCATCTCCCGCACGCATTACACACACACACACACACACACACACACACACACACACACACACACACACACACACACACATACACACACACACACACACACACACACACACACACACACACACACTACTACTACTACTACTACTACTACTATCAATCAGCTACCCCTTGGGGTCACGCCGCCCTCCACTCAGAGAACTGAGCGCAAGGTGAGGGGCAGTGGCGCAAACAAAACAGGAAGTACAGCAAAATGAATTGAAAAAAAGGAAATCAAAACAAGCTGCCATATTGATGGAAAGGGACTCACAAACAGAGGAAGGAAATATCACAAACCAGATGAACAGTCTGCTGTAGGTCCACTATAAGTATAACATGCAACGACTGAAAAAAGAACAAAATTAATGTGAACATGATGTTCTGTTCAACAATAACGTCTACGCGTACTGCTTCGGCCTTCATGCACCAGGAAAGCACAATCTTGAGCTGGAGGGTGGGCACCGAACGTCCCACAAGGGCTCCACAAGACGTACTTTCACGAAACGACGAGGAGTATGCGCAGCAAGCTAACATCACTACACCATCGCCGCACGACGACTGGCCACTCAGGTCCAAACAACACGACAAATTCACAATTCCAGCTATCACCGCGCAGGAATAAATTGTTGCGAGTGTGACCTGTATCCTTTATCATCTAGGAATCCACTTGTTTTGCCGAACGCCCCTGCATTGTTACAGGCTGGGAATTGATCCGAGGGCTCGCCACGCCACTGCGGAGGATGCGGAAAGGACGCAAGAAGACGGTGTCGGGGAATCTCAAGCACGCACACAGAGTGCACCCAACACAACGAACACCCACTCACACACTGTCTCAGTTCATATGGTTTACAAAGTTGAATGCATGATAGGATTAAAGTAACGGGAAGAGAAATAGAAAGTCGAAACTGTCTTCATGCCATTGCAATAATAATTACAACCACTGAACACCGCGTGGTTGACAGCTCTATCTGCTCAGGGGGTGCATGCATGCGTGCACAGCACACGCTCACGTAATGAGTCTGAAGCACATGCCAGTACGTAATATTAGGACGTGACGTGGCAACGTGATACTTGTACAACGGTGACGGCAACAAATTACCCGCCCTGGTCGTCAGCTCACTGAATGTCCTTCCGCGCGAGCGAACCGGCTGCAAGGCATGAAAAGCCTACTGCCAGTCAATACCCAGGGACGACCCTGACCAGAAGGCCAAGGCCGCCCCGTGGAGGAGGCCAACAAAGAGAAAACCAGGAGCTAACAAATCTGCTTCCTCTCCACACACACACACACACACACACACACACACACGCTGCCGCTGCCGCTGCCGCTGCCGCTGCCGCTGCCGCTGCCGCTGCCGCTGCCGCTACCGCTACCGCTACCGCTACCACTACCACTACCACTACCACTACCACTACCACTACCACTACCACTACCACTACTACTACTACTACTACTACTACTACTACTACTACTACTACTACTACTACTACTACTACTATGATACAGCTACCCTAAACGGGTCACGCCGCCCTCCACCCAAGCATGAGCACTATGAGGGGCAGTGGCAAATAAAGAGAATCAGCTAGCAGAACTGGCAAAACAGATGAAACAATGGAGCAGAATGGACGACTGCTGTACTGTAACAACAACCTGACAGCTAGTGACAACGACTGAAAATGAACAGGAAAGAAAAAAAATTCAAAATTTCACGTCACGAAAAAACACTGTCCACGAAAAAATCCACCAAGCAAAAGGAGTGTGGGCATCCGAAATCCCACCAGGACTCCACTAGCAGTTCTTCCACGTTGACGATGTAAGTGGCAGGGCAAGGCCTCACGAATCCGACAGACTTCCACAACGCTTGACCAGTGCCCTCATGACGATGAAAGATTGAAATTTCAATTCTCACCATTCCGCCATTGGGACCTTCCTCTCCGCACTCGCTCGTCCACTCCACTGAAAACAACGAGTTGTTCCAGCACTCCACCAGCCAATCCGCAATTCCCACCGCTGCATTCTTCGAGCTTGGATTCTTCACAGCACTCGAGGGACAGCTACTCCACTGCGAGTGGTGGACCACGGCCGACGCAGCAGTGACAATATCGAAGTAAATTGTCCTGCAAGCTACATCGCGATTCCGCGCTCCAATCATGCAGCACTACCTTGGCAGTGGGCGAGGGTGCTCCAGGGTCGACTCTGGCTACGCCAGAGTCGCCCTGGGCAGGCAGAAAACTTGGGAGAAAGCCAAGAACACGGAGCTCAGACACACACACACACACACACACACTCAAACTCCTGTCGGGGCTATCGCTGAAGCGATGATAGCGAACAAGCTATGTTAGATATAGCAACTTGTGCTGGGATTACACCATTCAATAGCTTGCAAGGCTGATGAATTGACCGCACTAAATAAACTTTAACCCGGTCTACACCACAAGGCCGGTTGAAGTGGCTTTTCTGGCCAATGGATCCCTATTTTTCCGTTTTCCTTTTTTTAGAGGAGATAGAGGCCGTTTTACATAGCATGAGGAGGGGCACGGCTAGTGGCAGCACAGGGATCCTTCCCGAGATGATCTCCTGTGGCGGTCCACCTGTCGCACAGCGTCTTCACTCCCTGGCGCTAGATGTACATGTGTGGTCGATTGGGGTTCTGTACCTAGTGAGGTTCTGTACCTAGTGAGGTTCTGTACCTAGTGAGGTTCTGTACCTAGTGAGGTTCTGCACCTAGTGAGGTTCTGTACCTAGTGAGGTTCTGTACCTAGTGAGGTTCTGTACCTAGTGAGGTTCTGTACCTAGTGAGGTTCTGTACCTAGTGAGTGGTGCAATGCTGAGATAGTGCCGGCACTGCCCAAGAAAGGAGATTTGCATCATTGTGATAACTGGCGTGGCATCAGCTTGTTGGATGTCGCTGCTGGGAAGTAGGGACTGGCGGATAAGGAGATACAGCGCTACATCATCCAGTCCGCAAGCCACAGTACAAGTGGCAGGTGCTGGCGCTGGACTTCGTGCTGTACTTCAGTACAGAGGTCAAAGTGCAATGTCTGTTTCAGCACTCACGCGATGCACGCATTGAAGATGGCGGTTCTTCATTTTTTTTAAATAATATGGAGAATGATTTGTAACCGGATGAGCACGTTTTGAGCAGAAAAATCAGCAGAACCCGGTGTCCTTCGAGAGGAATTTTGAGCAGACTGAAAAGCAGAATTGCTTCTTTCGCCGAGCATTATCCGCCAGTCCCTACTGGGAAGCTGTTCGCCCGACTGATCCAGGATCGTCTCCAGGACATTGCGGAGGATGTTCTGCCGGACACCGCCAAGTCCAAGTAATTGGAGAGAGACACTGTGGCCGAGGCTCAGTTTGCGGATGACAAACACACAAACACAAACGCACACTCACGCGACTGAAATATTATTATCTGAACCTTCTGGTAAAAAAGGAGAAAGATCTGAACCTTAGTTTGCCTTTGCCAACCCAGCACACTACTAACGGACTGACAAACTTGAGCAGTTTTGTGGTTCGATTTCGGAAGCATTTACAAACAATACCCGCAAGAACTTGGAACTAACGGATTGAAGACACACAGCACTCTTACCCTGCAATGCCCTAACGTTGGCAAAATAGTCGCCGGTTCGCCCATTGCATAGCCTTCTTGACGACCTGGGTTGCCTCCGAGGTGAATTCTTGCTTTCGGGAAATCGGACTTCGACAAACGTAAATGCACAGTGGGGAGGCCAGTGTAACGACTGTTGAATTTGATCTACAAGTGATGCGCTAAACTCGGCATTCCTCCCCGCGCGGCCCGGGAGTTTGGCCGTGACCAGAAAGCGCATCTGGCCGCAAGTCGGCGTGACGAGAACACTCCACCATGCACCATGGGTTACACTTGTAGTGGCTTTGAAGTTTGAGGTTGTTTTCCAGAAGGTCTTTTCAGCCTGCGCTAGGACTAGGGGCAGAATGGAAACAGCATGCCTGTTTTGCTTCCGCACAGTCGAGAATCCGGCCACTTCGGAAGACATTTTCCGTTCTCGGTAGTTATTTGCACAGTCGCCATTGCTGGGTGAGGTGGCTGGCCAGGTAGCTTGGCACAGAACTAGAACGCTCGCTTCAATGCGTCTTTTCGGAACTAACTTGCATTAGAAAAACCGATGTCATGTAGGTCTACAAAGAACAACTGACTACGGTATTTACTGCTTGCTACATTACAATCATGTCGATGATGTCGCACAAGAAAAGGGGTAGTGCCAGGTAGTGCCAGGTAGTGGTCGCATTCACATGGTGCATGGTTCAGGGCTAGGGAGCCCTGGCTAGGGCTAGGCCCTACACGTGCCAAGCAGTCACTACTTGCATGCAATTCAAGTAGAGGCGGACGCATTTTTTGCATTTAGCCAAGTGCACTCATACGTAGACTACTATCTACGAGGTCAATATACATGTAGCAAAAGCCGAGTAAGACTAAGAGACCGAGGCGGAGCCGAGGTCTTTTACGAGGTTTTTTATTTCCTGTACTGACCAGGGAGTAGTAAAATACAGTGTATTTTACTACTCCCAGGGCCCTGGTACTGACTAATTACGTACGAAGTCAATATTAGATTTATCACGATTAGCCCCATCCCTCACACAAACAAGTCAACAAAGAGGCATCTTTGGATTGAGGAGTGCTGGTTTCGAAACAACTGGTTTGAAGCTCAAAGTAGAGCTGGTGTTAGCTCAGAGCAGAGCTGCTGTTAGCTCAGAGCAGAGCTGCTGTTAGCTCAAAGTAGAGATGCGGTTAGCTCAAAGTAGAGCTGCGGTTAGCTCAAAGTAGAGCTGCTGTTAGCTCAAAGTAGAGCTGCGATTAGCTCAAAGTAGAGCTGCTGTTAGCTCAAAGTAGAGCTGCTGTTAGCTCAAAGTAGAGCTGCTGTAAGCTCAAGGTAGAGCTGCTGTTAGCTCAAAGTAGAGCTGCTGTTAGCTCAAAGTAGAGCTGCGGTTAGCTCAAAGTAGAGCTGCTGTTAGCTCAAAGTAGAGCTGCTGTTAGCTCAAAGTAGAGCTGCGGTTAGCTCAAAGTAGAGCTGCTGTTAGCTCAAAGTAGAGCTGCTGTTAGCTCAAAGTAGAGCTGCTGTTAGCTCAACGTAGAGCTGCAATGCTAAATGGATGTAATATAGCGCAAGAAACACTGCTGAAGCACGATCCGTTGTCTGGAAGAGCACAACAGGGCAAGCAAGATTTGTTTTTCTTTTCCGCAAAAATGGGCTGGTGCCATTTGTGATTACGCAGCAAAACAAAGCGCATGACGTCAGTCTTGAATGCAGTACAAAGCAATGCAGTGCAGTGTGTGCGCTAGTTCGGATTGTTGCTAACAAGTACTAGCACAGCTAGTACACCATTAGCCAAAGCCTGTGTTCAATCCCTAAAAAGGAGTCAAATATAAGCAGTCAATATAGCCCTAAGCCAAGACAATTATCTTGGTCATCACTGGTCATGAGCTACATGTACGTGCCAGGCATTACGTATTGCATGATGACTGATTGATGTACGTCGCGCATGCAGACTAATAGCCCTCGACAAGTCGTGTTCGACCCATTGGTATTGGCGATGTGTGCGGGCCAGGCGCATTGTCGGCAAACCCATCCTCACTGTCACCGGGGGAGATATCCAAGATGCAGCGGGCACCCTTCAACTGTGTGCCGGTCAGGAGTGCGGCATTGAAGCTGCCATCCATGCGATCAACACCTACCTCGGGTTGATGGAGAGTGCTTGCTGTCGCGCGAGGGTACCACCCAGGGTGACCCTCTGGCAATGCCCGTATACGCGCTTGGAGTCCTCCCGCTCATCAAGAAAGTTGCAGTGCCTGGTGCGAAACAGAGCTGGTATGTAGACGATGCTGCAGCCGGTGGGAAGCTAACACCTGTTCGCCAATGGTGGGCAATCTTGTCAGTCACGGTCCCGGGTATGGCTACCACTGCACCGCACAGAAGTCACTCCTCCTGGTCAAGCCCTCCAAGTACGCAGCTGCTGTCAAGACCTTCGAAGGGACCGGTGTACAGGTCACATGTGATGGGTTCCGCCACCTTGGTGCACCTTTGGGCAAGGATGAGTTTGAGGAACAACTCGGCCAAAGTCGCTACCTGGCGTGAGGAAGTTGCGCAGCTCACGACCATCGCTGCATCGCAACCACAAACCGCCTACTCCGCATTCACGCAGGGCCTGCAAAACAATTAAGTGGTCCTTCCTCTGCCGGACCTCCTCCATCCCGCCGTCCTTTCTTGAACCGCTGGAACACGCAATCAGCGATCGGCTCATCCCGGCCATCACGGGTCAAGCTCCACCTGGGACAACTGTTCGCTGCCTACTCTCTCTGCCTTGCCGGCTCGGGGGACTGGGTATGGCAAACCCTAGTGCAATGGCTAAGCAGTACACCTCGTCCAGAAGGATCACGGCTAGCCTCGTGTCTCGCCTAATGGAGCAGGAGTCGTCTCTTGGCGACTCTCTGACTCAGCTCCGGACGGTCAAGGCGACGGTTCGTGCCAAGAAGCGGAGCGCGGCCAAGTCCATATCTGACGCCCTTCGCTCGGATCACCGGGAGCTGGCACCTGTTCTCGACCTGGCCTCAGAAAAGGGTACACCCAGCTGGCTGACCTGCCGCCCCTCAGCCGCCATGGTTTCACCCTCACCGAGGGAGACTTCCGGGATGGCCTGTGCCTCCGGTACGGCTGGACACCTCCTCGGCTCCCAAGCCTCTGCGTGGGCAGTAAGCCGCTGAATGTGAGTCACGCCCTGTCGTGCCCGTTTGGTGGCTTCCCGACGCTGCGACATAACGAGGTGAGGGACACCACCGCCAGAGCTCTGAGACAGGTCGCTCACAACGTGACGGTGGAACCCTGCCTCCAGCCCGTCACTGGAGAGGCCTTCCGCTATCGCACAGCTGTCGCGGAGGAGCAGGCTCGGCTGGACGTTGCAGCCAGTGGTGTGTGGGGTGGCCGATTCGATCGCATCTTTATTGATGTACGGGTGTTCAACCCTTTCGCGTCTTCGAATCGTGCCAACTCCCTCGCTGATAGCTACAGACGCTATGAACAGGAAAAGCGCCGGAAGTACGAAGAGCGAGTATGCGAAGTCGAGCATGCCTCCTTCGTGCCCGTTGTGCTTTCTGCCTCTGATGGTTATGGCAAGCATGCCAATGCACCTTTCTCGCGGATCGCCTCTCTCCTGGCTGAGGAGAGCAAGGAGCCATACGCGCAGATTATCTCCTTGCTGCGCTGCCGCCTTGGTTTGCCCTGGTTCGTTGTGGTGCCATGGGCATGTGTGGCTCAAGGAGCATACATGTTTGCTCCTGCCGTGCCCGAGTCCCCTGCAGTGCTAGTGGTGGCTGGGGCACGCATCCAGTGAACCTGCAGTGATCCTACTGAGTCTGTATAATCATTTCTAAATCCGATGATTCGTTTTATGTAATTGTGTTGATGCTTCACAAATAATGATGGTGTTATTTTGCCCGTACAAAAAATTAACATTGCACATTGTACAATCATCATGTATACAGACTTTTTTCAGTCAGTACATGGTCTACTTATACGTGTACGGACAGTGTGAGTTTAAAAAAAATATATATATTGGCCACTTGCTTCAAAAATAATATCCTTAGAAATCACCGAAAAACAGGAAATATGCTCGAAATATGCTTGCCACATCGGGGCCCAAAAACACTGATATTGGAAGTTATGAAAGGTACTTCGAGTACATGTACACGTACTTGAAGTATGTCAATGAAGAAGGGGTGAAAGTAATGTTAACCAAACATGCTACAAGAAGCAGGTAAAATGCAAACGTAAATAACTGAAGGACTAATAGAAAAGAAAGGTACAAAGTCGGGAGAACCAACAACCATGAGTCACACTTCAATGCGGTGTGCAGCACTTCGATCCCTGTACATTTTTGTAGTAGCACCTACACCACACTGGCACACTCCACAGCTTATGAAAAGCAACTGATATGCGAATTCTTTGCTCCTTGTAGCAAAATATGCTACATCTGGTACAATACCGGTATGCTAGGTTTGGTACTTTATGCGACCTTGTGTCAAAAGGACCAAAATATGCGCAAGCCTTTTCAGGCCCTCCCTAGTCTAGGTGTTGGCGGATAATGCTCGGTAATATGGGATATAATGCTCTCAGTAATGCTCCACAAAAGGTCATATAATGCTCCAAATAATGCTGATAATGCTCCGCCGGATGGAATATAAACTGCTGAACCTTGCGGTATCGGGCTAAGAAAAACGCTATAATATTGCACCCATGCTATGCAACATAGAACGCACAATCTGTATCCGCCGCAGAGACTCGGCTGAACTGACGGCCTCAGTAAGACCGGTGCCGGCTAGAGCCTTCCCAAGTCGTTTCTGATAAGCCAAGAAGGACTCCTTGACCAGCTTTTGCCTCTGAGTTTCCCTCTCCAAACGGGACTTTCCTTGTTTGTGTCTCATGGTAGCAATATCGGACATGATTATACTCTTCTTCCCTGACAATGTTGTATGGCATGCCAGGCACACTAACTGCTTGCCACAGTCGCTTTCGAGCGGCTCCGCACCCGTGTTTCGGCACTGATGGCCACTTCAGTGCTCTGTCCATGAGCTACTCGCGTCCTTTTGGAAACATTTTCAGACTTGGTAATAGCTGTTTTCTGAAAAGACCGCTTCCTCGCTATTGCGGCAGGATCTGCAGTTTCCAACTCGACGACGTCACTATCATCAGGGGACTCCGCCAAAAGCTCATCTGGAGAAAGCCCAGCTTCCTCCCAATCCCAAGAACGGCATCGCGGCGAGTCAGCCATCAGCGTTGGCTGCTAGTTAGCTGGTCTTACACAATGGTCAATGTCCGGTGAAAGTCCAGCGTTACTCGTCGACAAAGACATGGACTCTTGCTTCGATGAAAAATGTTTTTTGTAACATTGTGGACGGTAACCGGGTAAGGTCTGGAATGTGTGCGTGTGCGCACCTCCACCGTTCCATGCTGGCTCACATTTGTTTCGTTGGTTCGGCGTTGTTACCTGGATCTTCAAAAACTGACAAAAAGTATTAGTTGCTGGCCGAAGATAGACTTCCGAGACCGGAAGTTTCTGCGAGAGTTTCCACACTGTACTGTGCTGCTGGACCACAGCTAGCTAGC